GGCAAATGCCTCTGTGCAGGGCTTGGGCGGGGCGGGTCGCACAGGATCAACAGGGTGGGCCGGAGAGAGCAGTTATGGCGGCTCTCAGTCCTGTCCCCAGGGGCTCTGCCTCTCTGAGTCCCAGCACCCGCTGCAAACCTCGGAGGGAAAGCTGCACTCGCTCTGACCGAAGCCAGACAGTCCCGCTTCTCCCGTTTGAGTCTGGGTCCCTAAAGACTCGCCCGGATCTGGAGCTCAGAGTCTGGGACTCCCTCCCGATTGAAAACGCCAACCGCGTCCTCCGCCGCCAGCCCGCTCCGCGCACTCCGCACCTCAGAATTTGACTTCAGCACTGCGCCTCCTCTGAGTGTCCATATGCGTTTCTCTTTCCTCCTAGTTGTAGGACTTCCACTCAGCCAGCGTTCCTGTGGTTCTGGGTGATGTCCGTTCCGTTTTTCAGTTTCACTTTTGAAGTAGTTGTTCAAGGCAGCAAACCCCGGCGTTAACCTTGCCGCCATCTTGGTTCTCCTCAATCCACTTTCTTTTTTAAAAAATATATTTTATTGATTTTTTACAGAGAGGAAGGGAGAGGGATAGAAAGTTAGAAACATTGATAAGAGAGAAACATCTATCAGCTGCCTCCTGCACACTCCCTACTGGGGATGTGCCCGCAACCCAGGTACATGCCCTTGACCGGAATCGAACCTGGGACCCTTCAGTCCGCAGGCCGACGCTCTATCCACTGAGCCACACCGGTAAGGGCTCTTTTCACTTTCTTTGTACTGTTCTTTGATGAACAAAAGCTTTAAATTTTGATGAAGTCCATTCTATCCATGCTTGTTATTGTTGCTCATATCTAAAAGTCCATTGCCAAATCTGAAATCATGAAGATTTACTCCTATATTTCTTCTAAGAGTTTTATGGTTTTAGCGTTTATATTTAGGTTGTTTATCCATTTTGAGTTTATTTTTATTTTTTTAAATATATTTTATTGATTTCAGAGAGGAAAGGAGAGGGAGAAAGAGATAGAAACATCAATGGTAAGAGAGAATCATTGATTGGCTGCCTCCTGCACGCCCCCTACTGGGGATCAAGCCCGAAACCCAGACATGTGCCCTTGGCCGGAATCGAACCTGGGACCTTTCAGTCTGCAGGCCGACTATCCATTGAGCCAAACCAGCTAGGGCCATTTTGAGTTTTTTTGTTTGTTTTGTTTGTTTGGGGTTTTTTTTTAGTATTTTTTATTGATTTTTTACAGAGAGGAAGGGAGAGGGATAGAGGGTTAGAAATATCGATGAGAGAGAAACATCGATCAGCTGCCTCCTGCACACTCCCTACTGGGGATGTGCCTGCAACCAAGGTATATGCCCTTGCCCAGAATCGAACCTGGGACCCTTGAGTCCGCAGGCTGACGCTTTATCCGCTGAGCCAAACTGGTTAGGGCTGAGTTTATTTTTAATATGATGTGTGATAGGGATTCAACTTCATCTTTTTGCATGTGGAACTCCAGTGTCCCAGCAACAACTGTTGAAGAGATTATTATTTTCCCATTGAATGGCCCTGGCGCCCTTTTTGAAAAATCAATGGACCATATATATTGGGTTTATTTCTGGACTCTCAATTCTGTTCCATTGGTCTGTATGCTATCTTTATGCCAGTACCATACTGTTTGATTACTGGATTTCAAAACTTACTCTGTAGTAAGTTTTGAAATCCACAAGTGAATTCTCCAATTTTGTTCCTTTTCAAGATTATTTTGGCTATGTGGGTCCCTCACAAATTCATATAAATGTAATGTTTGGCTTTTCCACTCCTGCAAAAAAGGCTGTGGAAATTTTGAGAGGGATTGTGTTGAATCTGTAGATTGCTTTGGGTAGTATTTACATTTTAACAGTATTAAGTTTTCCAGACCATGAACATGGGATGTTTTTTCCACTTATTTGTGTCTTCTTTAATTTCTTTCAGCAATGTGTTGTAGTTTTTGGTATACAAGTCTTTTACCTTGGTTATATTATTCCTAGGTATTTTATATTTTTGGATGCATTTGTAAATGAAGTTGCTCACTTAACTTCCTTTTTTGATTATTCATTACTGGTGTATTGATTATTGTGCATTGACCTTGTGTACTGCAACTTAACCGAATTCATTTATTAGCTCTAGTAGTTTTTTTTTTGATTCTTAGGGATTTTTCCTACATAGGATCATGTCATCTGTCAATACAGTTTTTCTTCTTTTACAGTTTGGATGTCCTTTGTTTCTTTTTCTTGCTGAATTTCTCTGGCTAGAACTTCTAGTACTATGTTGAATAGAAGTGGCGAGAGTGAGCACCCTTGTCTTGTTCCTGATCTTACAGAAAAGCTTTTCAGTCTCTCGCCATTATGTTTGCTGTGGGTTTTCGTAGATCTCCTTTACCATGCTGAGGAAGTTCCTTTCTATTCCTAGTTTTCTAGGTAGTCTTGAGATGAAAGGGTTAAATGCCTTTTCTCTGTTAATTGAGTAATGGTGTTTTTCTCCCTTTTGTTCTATCATCGATTGATATTTCTCATGTTGAATTATCCTTGCATTCATAGGGCAAATCCCACTTGGCCATGATGTATAATCATCTAAAGATGCTGTTGGATTTAGATTACTTGTATTTTGTTGAGGTTTATTATTATTTTTTGGTTATTGTTATTGAGTTTTGCATCTATATTCATAAGGGATATTGGTCTGATTTTCTTATGTTTTTGGCTTTAGTATCAGTGTATTGCTGGCCTTATAGAATAGGTTAGGAAGTGTTCCCTCCTCTTCAGTTTGTTGGTAGAGCTTAAGTAGGATTGATGTTAATTCTTCTTTAAATGTTTAATAGAATTCACCAAGGGAAAAACAACAAAAATTCACCAGGGAAGCCCCGTATCTCATACCAGTTTTGTTTCTTATTTATGTTACTTTAGGTAATAATTTGTTTGTAGGAATTTGTCCATTTCATCTAAATTATCTTATTTGTTGGTGTGCAATTGTTCACCGTATTCTCTCATCCCTTTTATTTCCTTAAAGTCAGAGGTAATGTCTCTACTTTCATTTCTGATTGTAGCGATTTGCCTTTTTTTCTTTCAGTCTAGCTAAAGGTCTGTCAATTTTTTTCATCTTTTCAGAGAACCAACTTTTACTTTCATTGACTTTTTGTTCTATCTCTAATTTTTATAATTTTTTAAAATCCTCACCTGAGGACACGTTTGTTTGTTAGTTATTGAGAGAGAGAACATCGATATGAGAAATATCCATCAGTTGCCTTCGGCCCTCGCCCTGAACCTGCAACCTGGGTATGTGCCCTGATAGGATTTGAACCCACCACCTTTTGGTGTACAGGATGACATGCCAATCAACTGAGCTACACTGGCCAGGCCATTTCTATTTTTAATTTGTTCCTTTCTTCTTCTGTGTTTGGGTTTAGTTTTGCTTTTTTTTTTCTCCTTTTTTCTTCAAAATGTAAAGTGAGGTTACTGATTTGATATCTTTTTTTAATGTAGACATTTATGACTGTGAATTCTCCTCTGAACACTGCCTTCATTGCATTCCATGGCTTTTGCTCAATGTGCTTTTTCATCAAAGGATACATTCTTCATTCATTGAACAATATTTATACCAGATGGGTTCTAGGTGCTGGGGATGCAGAGAGGAATACAAGAGCCAGGCAGTATTTACACTGTGATGGAGCTGCCATTTAGGGTAAACCAACATGACAGCAATTGTTGGTTTCAAATCCATAAAATGGTAGTGTGATAGAGAATGGTGGTAACACTACTTTAATTTTTAAATTTTATTTTAAATAGGTAACATATACACATGGTTTGAAAATAAAAAAGATATTAAAAAGGCCCTGGCTGGTATGGTTCAATGGGTTGGAGCGTTGTTGCATATACTGAAAGGTGGCAGGTTCAATTCCCAGTCAGTGCACATGCCTATGTTACTGGTTCTGTCCCTAGTCAGGCATGTGAGAGAAGCAACCAATGGATGTTTCTCTCTTTCTCCCATCCCCTCTCTCTTAAAAAAAAAAAAAAAAAAAATCAAAAGTAAAAAAGACGCCTGGCTGGCGTAGCTCAGGCCTGTGCGTTGACCCATGAACTACTAGGAGGTCATGGTTCAATTCCTAGTCAGGGCACATGCCTGGGTTGCAGGCTCCATCCCCAGTAGGGTGCTTTCAGGAGGCAGTCAGATCGATAATTCTCATCATTAAAGTTTCTAATTCCCTCTCCTTCCTCTCTCTGAAAAAATAACATTAAAAAAATAAAAGGCAACCTGTTGAATGGGGGGGGGAAATGTTATGAAAAGTTCTAGTTTGCAAAATCTCTCTTGCACCTCTGCTACCTTTTACCTCATTATCTGCTGGCCTGCCAGACGCCTTTCCTGCCAGGAGTAACTATTTGTAGGGTCATGAGGCAACGCGGGATCAGTAGTGAGAGCAAAGGTGGAGGGAGTTCAGGGCTTGGAGTGTGGCCGTTTACCAACTAGAACAGAAGTATTTCTATTTTAATCAGTACAATCATACTGGTGTATACTGACAATATTCCCGTTACCTGTACGTAACGTCTTATATTAGAGTCTTAGTCTTCCAGTGTTTTTTCATCAAATACAAACACCAAGATAATGTACTCTCTCTGCACCTTGCTTTTCTTTTCTTTTTAAATCCTCACCCAAGGATATTTTTCCTTTTTTTTTTTTTTAGAGAGAGAGAGTGGGAGGGGGGGAGAGAGAGAAAGACATGGATGTGAGAGACACACATCTATTGGTTGCCTCCAACACGTGCCCAAATTAGGGTTGGGGATCCAACTCATAATCGAGATACATACCCTTGATCAGAATCAACCTGGGACCCTTCAGACCAAGGGCCCATGCTCTATCCACTGAGCCAACTTGTAAGGGCTGCACCTTGCTTTTTAAACTTAGCAATATATCCTGGAAATCTTTCTGTCAGTTTATAGAGTGTCCTCATTTTTGTCCCAGTTACATAATTGCATAGTTTGTGTGGTTGTTTTTTTTGGGGGGGGGGGGCGTTGGGCGGGGTAGCTGATCCTGTGCCATGTATTGGCGGGGGCAGCTCCTCCAATGACTGGCCGCTCAGTAGGGTGGGGTGTCAGCTGGGTTTCAAGAGTGAAAATGGAAGCCCGAGGCCCAGGCTGCAGCCATGGTGGCCAGTCCACCCCTCGATGGGAAGAGCACGTGGATCGGACAGGGCGGCGCTGTCGCACGGGTCTCTGCAGACTCTGCCACCCACAAGGTGTCCTCCGCCCCGTTGTTCTTCGCTTTAGGTTTTTAAAGGTTGAACCCAGTGTCCTATTCTGGATTGGCTTTATCATTTCCTCATGATGTCCTCTAAACGTCTTCGTTTCCTGTAAACTGCAAGACAAAATACCGGATTCAGATTAAACATTACTTACAAAAGTATATTGTACCATTGGTGATCCTTATGTTTTACAGTCAACTTTTGCCAGGACAGGATAATCTTAAAAACTAAGAGCAAATCATTCCTCAAACAAAATCCCCTACTCTAGGGGCCTAGAGGGTTCTCTTTTGCCAAAGCCCTAAGAGGTCTCACAGGCCTACCGGACCCTCCCATTCCCGTCTGAGACCGCTTTTCCCCCCTCCCAGCCCTCCGTCCGGGTTCCAGCCCTGACCTTACAACGTACCCACGGCCACCGCGGGCTGACGGAGGGAGGGGCGGGGGCGAGAGAGGCGGTTCAGCGCATGCGTACTCCCCGCGCCGTCACGTTGTGTCTACTAGTGTGGTGCGCAGGCGCGCGCACGTGCGCTGGAAAGAAGGTGCGCGTTGGCAGGTGTTGGTACTGGACTACGTCACTGAGGGGCAATAGGACCACCCCGCCGCCCCGAGCGTTCCGCGCATGCGCAATTTCCGCCTGCCCCGGCTCTTTGGCCTGAAAGACGCGGGACTGGCGTCAGAGTGCGCGCTCTGCGTCGGGTAGAGCTGCGTCGCCTGGAAGCGGGGCGCAGGCGTGCGCATGCGCGTTGCACCGAGGGCGCTTGGTGACAGGTGTCGATCCCCCAAGGCGGCTCGCGATGGGGTGGCCCGCGTTCCTGCTGCTCTCGCTGTGCGCGGTGGGCGTCCGGGGGCTCTACTTCCACATCGGCGAGACCGAGAAGCGCTGCTTCATCGAGGAAATCCCCGACGAGACCATGGTCATCGGTCAGGCGGCGTGGGGGTGGGCAGGGCCCTGCGTGTCCCTCAGTCGCGGGCCGCGGTCCCCTTGGGAGTGTGGGAGCCGGGCGGTCGAGGCGCCTTGTGACAGCTTTGTCGCTCCGCAGGGAACTACCGCACCCAGATGTGGGATAAGCAGAAGGAGGTCTTCCTGCCCTCCACCCCCGGCCTGGGCATGCACGTGGAGGTGAAGGACCCCGAAGGCAAGGTAGGGCCACCCGCAGGCCGTGGCCTGGGCGCCCTGCAGACGGCGTCAGGGCGGGGGGGTGCGGAGCTGGGAGGTCAGTGCAGGGGCTTCCCACTGACCGCTGTGTTGCAGGTGGTGCTCTCGCGGCAATATGGCTCGGAGGGGCGCTTCACCTTCACTTCCCACACCCCTGGGGACCATCAGATCTGCCTGCACTCCAACTCCACCAGGATGGTGCTTTTCGCTGGCGGCAGACTGGTAAGAGGGTGTTTTTCATGCCGGCGGCGTGGTGCAGGGCTTGAGCTGCGACCTACGACCCAGGAGGTCACCGTTGGGTTCCCGGTCAGGGCACATGCCTGGGTGCAGGCTGGATCCCTAGGGGGGCGGGCAGGAGGCAGCTGATCCATGATTCTCTCCCATCAGTGATGTTTGTGTCTCTCTCTCCCTCTCCCTTCCTCTCTGAAATCAATAAAGTAATATTTTTTAAAAAGGAAAAAGCTCTTTCACTACAGCTCGGAATCTCTCCCTCAGTTCCAAAGTTCTGATTTATGTCCATCATTATTTGTGACCCGTTGTGGCATAGTCACAATTGGGGAGACCTGTTGCCCCTCTGTCCCATAGTCAGGGACAGGAGCGGGCGGCATCGTCTGGAACAGGCCGTCTGAGGCTCCCCCACTCCTGTTTCTTACCCTGTGGCTTTGGGGCTCTGACCCTGTGTCCTTGTAGCGCGTGCACCTAGACATCCAGGTTGGAGAGCATGCCAACAACTACCCTGAGATTGCGGCCAAGGACAAACTGACAGAGCTGCAGCTCCGAGCCCGCCAGCTGCTCGATCAGGTGGAGCAGATCCAGAAGGAGCAGGACTACCAAAGGGTAAGGGCATGTCGCTGGACTGGGACCTGCCAGTTGCCCTTTAGACCCACCACACCCACTGGGGTTTCTGCTTGCGGCCTTCCCCGTGAACTGTTCAGAGAATGGAATGGAGGGTATTGGTCTAGAGCAGCGATTTTAAACCTTTTTCATCTCATGGCACACATCAATTAATTACTAAACTTTCTGTGGTACACCAAAAAATATATTTTTTGCTGATCTGACAAAAAAGTAGGTATAACTTTTTGTTTGTTTTTTGTTAATCCTCACCCGAGGATATTTTTTCCATTGATTTTTAGAGGTAGTGGAAGGGAGTGGGGAGGAGCTGGGGGAGAGAGAGAAACATTGATGTGAGAGAGACACATTGATTGGTTGTCTCCCAACCAGGGCTGTGCCGTTGACTGGCAATCGAACCGGAGACCCTTCGGTTCCCAGGCTGACACTCTAACCATTGAGCATGCCATCCAGGCTTAGGTATAATTTTGATTCATTCATACTGGATGGCTGTTGTTGGGTTGGCTGTTGTCATTGATTTATTTGACAGTCTAAGGAAAAAGAGGTCAGTGCCCCTGCCTAAATAGTCAGGTATTGCATCTTTTAAAAATTTGTTGCTGCACAACGGTTGAAAATCGCTGGTCTGGAGGGCTCTACACAATGGAGTATAAATCTAGGCATCGTCTGTTCACCTTGGGATCTGGCAAGAATTGGAAGGAGCATGACTTCAGCCCCGTGGGGCGCTCCCAGTGGAGTCGGGCAGACAGGAGGATTTGGTCCCGTGGCTGAGTAGTCCTATGGGAGGGGGTGGCTTACACAGCCAGGACCGGCTTTCCCTGCACACTTAGTCCTGGGTCTGCTGTCCCACAGTACCGTGAAGAGCGCTTCCGACTGACCAGTGAGAGCACCAACCAGAGGGTCCTGTGGTGGTCCATCACTCAGACCGTCATCCTCATCCTCACTGGCATCTGGCAGATGCGGCATCTCAAGAGCTTCTTTGAGGCCAAGAAGCTGGTGTAGTGTCCTCTCCGAATGACCCTCCTTCTCACCTCAGTTATTGGTACTTTCCCCACCTAATACCTTATCCACCCGGCTTGTGAGGGAAAAAAAGAAAAAAGAATATAAACCACATTGGTTCCCTGGCAACAGAGCATCCCGATCAGCCACTTGCTCACAGTGGTTCTCAAGAACACAGGGCATTGGTCCAAGCTTTCAAAGATGTCTTGGGGTTTGTGCACGGTCGGATCTGACCCAGGACTAGGTCTCACTTCTTTCACCTCCAGTGATTCCCCTGCATCCTGTCACCAAATGAGCAAATGACAAGTCTCTCTTGTAACTTCTTCATCTACTCATGCAGTAAGCGATGGCAATGCCCCAAGAGGCCCTGCCTCCCTGCTCCCGTCAGTCCTGGGCTCTCCCAGTGGCTTTGTGAATGTAAATAAGGGGCAGAGGCCCTAGAGGATTGAAATGTTTTTCTATATATTAGAACTATTTTTTGATAAAGTATATATTTTCTTTCCTAGTTGAAGTGTTAACTGCCTATACAACTAGCTGAAAACACCAACGCAGCCCCCTTGCATTCTGTCCACATGTTTTTGATAAGTACTGTGGCAGCTCTCAGGATTTCAGCCGTCTGTGGGCCAGAAAGCAGACGTCCCACTGCTATCGAGGCCCTAAGAGCGGGCCAAGCAGACTCCTCTGGGACACTTGAGATTTCACCAGACGGCCTCACTAAGAGTGAGGTTGTGACAGCTCGCACAAGGCAGGCACTCTTGCCCTCCCTCTCCCTTGACCTTTATTTAAGCTATGGTAAATGTTTTCATGGAACCAGGTTTGGTTCTTTATACAGATTTTTCCAGTGAAATAAAACGTGTTGTACTAGCTGTGTTTGAAATGAAATGAGAGGTTGTGGGCAGAGTGGAGGCACACAGGGATGGAGGAAGGGCTGCTGGCCTGGACTGCCCCTGCAGCCGCCTGGAGTGGACTATAGTGTGTGGGCTCATGGTGCTGGGGCTTGTCCTAACCTCAGTCCTGGGAGGTGGGTGGACCAGTGGTTGCTCAGCCATTCACATGGGTCAACCAAGTAGAAATACCAGCAAGGGATCTTAGGAAGCACTTAAGTCCCAGGTCGTAAGTTTAAGCAGATCTCACTACAGGTCCCCATGCCGTCTTCTGTAGGAAACAATGCCACCAGTTGCCCATTCTTGACATGTTTATTTCATGGTTTTATTATTTATCTGACCTACAGAACTAAATTCTTAATGTTTTTTCTTTATTTCCTATATTATTCCACATATGTACCTGTTTTTACTTGTAAAAATATATGCAATTTAGATTTATGGGCATTGTCATTGAATATTTTTGTAATTATTTTTGAAATTCTACATTCTAATTCTGGATGGCCATGTTATCCCAGTAAGGGGAAATGCCATAATTGATATACCCAAAATTCTTTGGATATTTTGAATAGTTTCCAGTTTTCTTCATGTTACAGTAAACAAGGAAACAGAAGGAGCTGGCTGGCTGTGTAGGCCACTGGCCTGAGGCTCTGGGGAGTATGAGACATGTCGGAAAGGGAACCTGTGTCTACCCTGTGGCTGTTACTGGGAATCCAGCCAGTAAAAGAGCCTGGAGTCTGGGCTGTGGGAGGACAGGAAACTCCAGGTGAGAGCGGGGCTGGCTTCAGTCTGCCAGCGGTAGACACGACTGCATCCTGTTTTGTTAATCCTCACCCAAAGATATTTTCCCATTGATTTTTTTAAGGGAGAGTGGGGGAGAGAAGGAAAGACAGAAACATCAATGTGAGAGAAACACATTTATTGGTTGCCTCCTGCACGAGCCCCAAGCAGGGCCCGGGCTGGGGAGGACCCTACAACCAAGGTGTGTGCCTTTGACCGGAATTGAACCCCGACCCTTTGGTCTGCAGGCTGATGCTCTATCCACTGAGCCAAACCAGCGCGGGCAACACAATTGCATCTAAATTATGTCGGTAGGTCAGTCAGTCTTTGACTTCTCCTGTCAAGTTTTGATGGGAAGGGGAGTGGAGCGAAACATGTGGGACCAGCTGATGGGGCAGGTGAGAAGTTCCATACTGCTGTGTGGTATTCACAGACATGACACCCTAAAGGTTTTTTAAAAAATAATGTTTTTATTCAGAGCCTGGAGAGGGACAGAAACATCAATGATGAGAGAGAATCATTGTTTGGCCACCTCCCACACACCCTCTACTGGGGAATCCCGCAACCTGGGCATTTGCCCTGACCAGGAGCCAAACTGTGACATCCTGGCTCAAGGGTGGACTCTCAATCACTGAGCCAAACTGGCTGGCCAGGCCTAAAAGTTTTTAAAATTCAGTCCGGCTCACAAAACTGATTAAGCAGGTTTGTTTGGGGTCGCCTGAGAGGCAGAAGGATGGCCTCCAAGGATGTCCAGGTCCTCATCCCTGGAATTTGTGAATGTTACCTAACATGGCAAAGGGATCAAGGGTGCTAACAGCTGATTTTAGAACAGATTGCCCTGGATATTCTGGCTGTGCCCACTATGGTCACAAGTTTCCTTAAAAGTGGGGGAGGGAGGCAAAGGAAGGTCTGAGGGGATGTGAGGACTCAACCCACTCACTGGCTGGCTCCGAAGACAGATGGAGCAAGGGGCCATCAGCCACGTTGGGAAAGGCAGGACAAATTGTTCCTCTCGCGTCTCCAAGGGAATGCAGCCCTGCCAACAGCTTGATTTCAATTCCGTGGGACCTTGTCAGACTTCTGACCTACAGAACCATAAGTAAATTCCTGCTGTTTTAAGCCACTAAGCTATGGTAATTGTTGTAGCAGCAATACCCAACTAATACAGGTGGGAGCCAAGAATCCCCATTTTTTTCTTTTGTCTTTAAATATATTTTTATTGATTTCAGAGAGGAAGGGAGAGGGAGATAGAAACATCAATGGTGAGAGAAAATCACGGATCAGCTGCCTCTTGAACGCCCCCTACTGGGGATGGAGCCCGCAACCTGGGCCTGTGCCCAACCGGGACTCGAACCGGGAGCCTTCACTCTTCAGGCCGAGGCTCCATCCATTGAGCCAAACCGGCACCCCCCCCCCCCCTTTCGTTTCCCAAACTATAAGAAAAAGTGTATGCAGAGTCACAGGGGAAATGGCCCCAGGAAACAGTTACAGAGGAGGAAAAAAGAGGGCCCTGGAGCTCAGGAGAGAGAGGGACGCGCCCTGGGGGCACGATCCGCACTCGGCCGAGCTGTGCGGTGGCTGACGGGCAGCTGGCGGGGGAAGCCCGGACAGACCCACCTGCCTGTCTCCTGCTACTCATTCTTCCACCCTCGTCCGGCAGACCCTTCGCCGGAGCCTGTCCCTGGACGTCTGAGCCCTGCACCCCGCGGCCACCGGCGTTCGGGACAGCGGCTGCCCCCGCGCCCACCACTGCCCCCGGCGTCCGGCCCGGGAACCCCTCGGCGGGCACTCCCTGCGCGGCGGGTGGGGCGGGCAGCGCCCTCACAGACCCGACGGCGACCCCGGGCAGCTGGGCAGGCGAGGGCGCGCCCAGGCAGCCGCCACGGCCGGTGGGGCCTGAGGACTTGGGCGGGGCTGATGGAAGACGCGCTAACGAAGGTGAAGCCAAAGCCGGCAACGTGCACCGGCGAGCCGAGGGCCCGGGGGCGGCGGAACCTGCATCCACCCGCGCGGCCCCGGAGCAGGAAAGGCCCACCGCGCAGCGTTAGGCGGAACCGTCCGGGACGGGTGGGGGTCCGGGAGCTCCCACGCGACCCCGACCCCCAACCGCCTCTACCCGGAACCGCCCGCCCCGCGCGCCGCCGCAGCCCCAGAGCTCCGCCCGAACACCGGAAGCCTAGGCTCCGGCACTTCCGGTAGTAACGCCTCTTCCGGCGCTGATTGGTTGTTGCTTTGACCCGCCCACACGTCGCACGCTCCCCCTACCGCGCGTGCGCGCTGTCAGTACGGAGCCTCAGAATGGCGGACGACGAGGCTTTGGGATTCGAACACATGGGATTGGATCCCCGGCTCTTGCAGGTACCCGGAGGGCCGAGGGGCCGGCCTGGCGGGGGTGGCGGGGGGTGGAGGGCCGAGGGGCCGGCCTGGCGGGGGTGGCGGGGGGTGGAGGGCCGAGGGGCCGGCCTGGTCGGGGGTGGCGGGGGGTGGAGGGCCGAGGGGCCGGCCTGGTCGGGGGTGGCGGGGGGTGGAGGGCCGAGGGGCCGGCCTGGCGGGGGTGGCGGGGGGTGGAGGGCCGAGGGGCCGGCCTGGTCGGGGGTGGCGGGGACTTGCAGGGCTGCTCGCGCCTGAGCCGCCCGCCTCTCCTAGGCCGTGACGGACCTGGGCTGGTCGCGGCCCACGCTGATCCAGGAGAAGGCCATCCCGCTGGCCCTGGAGGGGAAGGACCTGCTGGCCCGCGCCCGCACCGGCTCGGGGAAGACGGCCGCCTACGCGGTTCCCATGCTGCAGCTGCTGCTCCAGAGGAAGGCGGTGGGTGGCGGCGGCGCCCTGAGCGGGAGGGAGAGGCCGGGTCGCCGTGGTGCCCCCCCCCCCCCCCGCAGTGCCCTCTTGCCATGAGCCAGGCCGACCTCTGGCCTCTTGCCCGTGCGGGATGCCCGCAGTCCTCGTACCTGGAGGCGCACGTTCTGGGCTGGAGTCAGGTCCCTGGGCCCTAGTCCAGGCCGTGAGTGAATCTCTGCTGTGGACCTGCAGTCTGTTGTGAACCTCCAGCCGCTGGCCTTTTAGAGTAACTTGGTCACCGGAAAGTCAGTGGCTCTTTTTGAGGGTCAGCACCTGGGGAAGAACCCTCCGCCCCGGGTTCCGAGGCGGGGAAGCCAGCGCTGGGCTGTGTTGGAGTCACAGCCTCTGGGTCAGAGCCAGAGAAGCGCCAGGGGCCACGATGCGGGGACGCTGCCTGAAGTCTGAGCCCTGCTCTTGCAGACCGGCCCGGTGGTGGAGCAGGCTGTGCGCGGCCTTGTCCTCGTGCCCACCAAGGAGCTGGCGCGGCAGGCCCAGGCCATGATCCAGCAGCTGGCTGCCTACTGCGCCCGAGACATCCGGGTGGCCAATGTGTCAGCCGCTGAAGACTCGGCCTCTCAGAGGTGGGCGGAGGCCCGGGGCTGGGGGGGTGAAGCTGCCCAGAGAGGAGGGTGGGTGAGGTCCCGGCGTGCCTTCTCCCTGACCCTGAGGGGCGGCCCGCCCGCAGAGCTGTGCTGATGGAGAAGCCTGACATCGTGGTGGGGACCCCGTCGCGCATATTAAACCACTTGCAGCAAGACAGCTTGAAGCTGCGGGACTCCCTCGAGCTGCTGGTGATGGACGAAGCCGACCTCCTCTTCTCCTTTGGCTTCGAGGAGGAGCTCAAGAGTCTCCTCTGGTAGGAAGAGGCGTGTGGGGGTGAGCGTCGACGCCCGGGGCAGGTGGCCAGAAGTCTAGCTGCCACGATGAGAGGCGCTTGGAGCTGGAGGCTAATGCAGGTCTGTTTTATTGTAGTCACTTGCCCCGGATTTATCAGGCTTTTCTGATGTCGGCTACCTTTAACGAGGATGTGCAAACACTCAAGGAGCTGGTCCTGCATAACCCAGTGAGTTCCCCGGGCACCCACCTGCAGTCGCTGACGTGGGCACTCAAAGGGCTTGGTCCTCCTGCTCACTGGGGAGGACAGTTGTCACTGGTTTAGCCTCCCTGGTTCTAAATCACTAGAAGCCAATAGTTCATGACCACCCGCTCCACATCTAAAATCATTGTATCCTCCATATGTCCCCTAGGGGTCACCTAAAGGTCTGAGCAGGGACCCCCAAGGGCAGAAAGGCTGCCTTTAGCAGCAGGGCCAAAGTTCTCTACTTATGAGACCTCGATTCCTGAGAAAGGTGTTACTATAGGGCGTCCCGCTCACTGCAGTCCTGTGCTTGTGTTTCTCTGTTCTGTGCCCCAGGCACTTTGCATGTAGTGTTCTGTCTTTTGTACCCACAGTAGCCAGGGTCCTTTGAAACCTTGTGCCAGCAGGAGGGAACCATGGTGCCCTGAACAAGCACATGCACAGTGTGGGTGGCCAGCCAGCAGCTTGTGGGAGCGTTTCTGCCTTCTTTCCTGACCACAGGCCTGTCCCCCCAGGTTACCCTCAAGTTGCAAGAGTCCCAGCTGCCAGGGCCAGAGCAGCTCCAGCAGTTCCAGGTGGTCTGTGGCACGGAGGAAGACAAGTTCCTGCTGCTATACGCCCTGCTCAAGCTGTCGCTGATTCGGGGCAAGTCCCTGCTCTTTGTCAACACTCTGGAGCGCGGCTACCGGCTGCGCCTGTTCCTGGAGCAGTTCAGCATCCCCGCCTGCGTGCTCAATGGGGAGCTGCCCCTGCGCTCCAGGTGTGTGGCGGATGTCTCGGTTGGAACATGTTGAAGATGGGGGTTGGGAAGGAGACACTATGGGTGTTCCTGCTTTTTAAGAGCTCAGAGGCCAGGCTCTGGGCTGGTAGATAGTCAGTGACTCTGCCACAGCCTCTCGAGGTGCCCACTGTTCCTCCGTCTTCAGCGAGGGGGTTGAGGCAGAGATAAAGTCGGGGGAGAGTGTAAGAGGGAAACGTCACGGTCATGGCGGTGCTGGGGCTGAGGCGCTGCCTCCAGCTCACTCCTGGGGCTGACCCTCCCCTTTGGGCCACAGGTGCCACATCATCTCGCAGTTTAACCAAGGCTTCTACGACTGCGTCATAGCGACTGATGCGGAAGTCCTGGGTGCCCCGGTCAAAGGCAAGCGCCAGGGCAAAGGGCCCAAGGGGAACAGGTGCGTCCACATTTTTGTCCTTCTAGCCCTCCCCAGGGAGACTGGAACCAGAGTGGGAGCCAGGCTTGGCTGCTGGGCCTGGAGGAGGGGCGCGAAGGGCTCACCTAGTCCCTGGGTGATTGGAACACTGGCAAGGGAGACAGCCCAGCCATCATTGGGTGCAGCTGTGACCTGAGGGGAAAAGGGAGCCTGCAGTCTGCCCAGTGGGTTCTTGGGTCACCTGTGAGGTGGTGAGTTCCGCTGTTGCCTCAGAGCTGGGGGCAGGGCCAGGGTGTGGCCGCCCCTCTGCCCAGCTCCTGGGACAGTTCTGGATGTAAAGAGTCTTACACTGTTAGGGCCCTGGGCTCCACACGGGCTCAGATCAGAGACCCTGCTGATGAAATGAGCTGTCGAAGGCCAGTGGGAGAGCGGGGCGAGTCTGCTGTGGTGTCTCCTGCAGGGCCTCTGACCCGGAGGCGGGGGTGGCCCGGGGCATAGACTTCCACCACGTGTGTGCCGTGCTCAACTTCGACCTCCCCCCCACCCCTGAGGCCTACATCCATCGAGCTGGCAGGTAGGTAGGAGAGCTGGATGGCAGGCCGGGCCCCTGGACTATGGGCGCCCCCAGGACTCAGGCGAGACGGGCTGGGCTATCTCTTCGCAGGACGGCACGTGCCAACAACCCAGGTGTAGTCTTGACCTTTGTGTTGCCCACGGAGCAGTCCCAGCTGGGGAGGATTGAGGAGCTTCTCGGTGGAGGTAAGAGCAGGGCCAGGCTGCGCCCAGGATGCCTTGGACCCAGTGGTGGGAACGGAGCAGGGACAGTAGTGCAACCGGCTGCCACCTCCTGCTCACCATGCTTGCCCCATGTCCCTCGCTGCAGCCTCATCCTTCCCTTGGTAGCAGGCACTGCCCCCTCACAGATGAGCAGGCCCAGGTCCTGAGTCACACTGACTGCCTGCCCTGGGCAGAAGGGCCGAGGGCAGCAAGGGGGAGACAGGGAAGAGGCTGGTGGTGTCTCAGGAGGCAGCCTTGGGAGAGGGAGCTCTGTGGGGCAGCCAGGCTGTCAGAAGAGGACAGTGGAGGATGGACGGGCAGGCTGCCCATCCCCAGGAGGTTAAGGGCGCAGGGTCCAAAGGCACCTTGGGGGAGGAGAGTAGGTGTCTGGGCAGGTCCTGAGGGTGAAGGATGTAATGACACCCAGGACTTGGGATTTGAGCTGCCTGGCCATCGGATCCTGGGGAGCTGGTGTCCTGTTGGCAACACCCAGGTGTCTTGCGCTGTGTGCACGTCACATTGCAGGGAAGGAGCCAGAGAGGCTGCTGCCTCATCCTGGGGAGGGGAGGGCATGGGAGGCTGGGAGTCTGCAGCCAGGACCGCTCATTGCTGCTTCTCCCCAGAGAACGGGGCCCCCGCCCTGCTGCCCTACCAGTTCCGCATGGAGGAAATCGAGGGCTTCCGCTACCGCTGCAGGGTGAGTGCCGGGCGGACCGTGGCTCCTGTGGGATGGGGTATCCCGGGAGCCCTGGGTCCTGACCGCGGCATCCACCCAGGACGCCATGCGCTCGGTGACGAAACAAGCCATCCGGGAAGCAAGGCTGAAGGAGATCAAGGAGGAGCTCCTGCACTCGGAGAGGCTGAAGGTGAGGAGGCTCCACGCGCGGTGCTGAGGCCTCAGCAGCTGGGGCATTCGGAGGGAGGCCACTCCGAGAAGGACAGTTGGCGTCACAGTGACAAGACTGCACTGCACTCCCGCGTGCCGCCGAGTGTCTCAGGAAAGGGAGCATGTGGGACGGGGACGCGAGAGCCCATCAGCGGCTGCCCCTGGGAGCGGGCGGGGCGGCCGGGACGGGCGGTGGGACACCTCAGCCTTCAAATTCTAAACGCGCGTGACCCACGTGGATCCCCGTAAAGTCACAGGGAGACCAAACCCCTGCATCTCTGTCTCTCTCGTCAGACGTACTTTGAAGACAACCCCAGGGACCTCCAGCTGCTGCGCCATGACCTGCCCCTGCACCCTGCCGTGGTCAAGCCTCACCTGGGCCACGTCCCTGACTACCTGGGTGAGTGGGGCCTGGCGGGCCCCACACTGGGCTGATGGGACCCTGAGCCGGGCAGGTGCACGCGCCACACGGTCCCAGGGGGCGCTGTGCTCTGTGGTGGAGGCGGCGGCTCAGAGGGGCAAGGAGGGAGCTATCCTCGTCACACAGGAGCAAAGTCAGGCAGGGTCGGTGGCAGCTACTGAGGCCACGTGTCTCTTCCAGTTCCTCCTGCTCTTCGCGGCCTGGTTCACCCTCACAAGAAGCGGAAGAAGCCGTCCTCTAAGAAGGTCAAGGTATGCCCCCTCCTCCCCCCGGCCTTGGTAGCAGCTATGGTCTCCCCCACCTGGTTCGTTGTCACCCCGGTCTGCACACACCTTGGAGGAGAGTGGTCCCAACATCTGGCCAAAACTCCTGGCCGCAAGGTCAAAGCCAGGGGGCTGGGATTCCTGCCGCCACACATGTATGCTTTCAAGACGAGGAGGACAGGCTGTCTGTCCTGCTGCCATCCAGGCTGCAGGTGACCACAGCAGCGTCTGTCCTGGCCCTGGGCTGTCTGTCTGGGTGTTCTCCAGCTGACCTTCAACTTTCCCCCACAGAAGGTGAAGGCCCAGAACCCACTGCGCAGCTTCAAGCACAGAGGAGTGAAGCACAGACCCAGGGCGGTGCCCTCCTGAGGTCGTCCAGGCGGCCTCAGCTATCTTCCTGGCCTCGTGGGGCTGAGCACAGCGGGAAAGTAGAGTTCCCCCTCGACAGAGGGGCTGATTCCCGCCCTGGACGAATGCACTAGGCTCTGGAGCAGGCAGACTATGGCCTCCCGATCCGTGGCACTGCCAGGCCGCATTTTGTGCCTTAAAGACAGAATAAAGGTTCTGGCTGCCTCCGTCTGGGCCTCCTGCAGGTTTCAGCCCTCTGAGCCCGCTTCTGGGAGGCAGGGCCTGGCCCTCTGCCTGCTGCATGCGGCCCTGTGGCCAGCAGGGGTAACCGTGCCGCCTGCATCGGGGCCTTCGGCCTGGGAGATGCCTGCCTGGTCCAGGTCTCTTTCCAGCCCACACCTGCTCCCGTGCCTTCCTGCTTGGGGCACACTGGCCAGCCTCCATCCCCTGAAGCTCAGAAACAACAGCTCACCCACAGGAAAGGGGGGCCCTGCTCACCTCGGACCTGCTGCCTGCCCTCCTCGGGCCGCTGGGGATGCAGACCTGAGCTCCTGGCATTGCTGCTCCGTTAGCACCGCTGTGCGTGTGCCAAGTGCATGAGTGGTTCTGTGAGGCTCTCACACCTCGTTCTTTTCTCTCCACTTGGCCAGGAGGCCCTAGGACAGCGGTTCTCAACCTGTGGGTCGCGACCCCTTTGGCGGTCGAACGACCCTCTCACAGGGGTCGCCTAAGACCATCCTGCAGATCAGATATTCACATGACGATTCATAACAGTAGCCACATCACAGTTATGAAGTAGCAACGAAAATAATGTTATGGTTGGGCCACAGGAGGAACTGTATTTAAAGGGCCAGCAGGTTGAGAACCACTGCCCTAGGAGGAGAGGGTCCCCCCAGAGGAGGGCTCTGCAGCTGTCCTTGGTTGTGGCCCTCATATCAGGACCCCCATCTGCTCTTCAGGCCTCACAAGGCCAGGCTGCTGCAGGTCGGGGGGGCGGGGGGGGGGGGTTGGAGCGGGCCCTGCCGCTGGTGGGTGTGAATGGCCAAGGCTGTGGAGAGTGTCCCTGCGCCCTGAGTTTGCAGAGGAAGGGTGTCCAGGGCCCCGACGTCTTCAGGCCTCACACGGGACACAGGCCCTCAGGGGTTGGGTCTGGTGCTGAAGCGTCTGCCCTTAATGAGCACGTGAGGGGTCCCTGGGCCGGGAGGGCAGGGGCAGGGCCAGCCCCTGAGCAGCTCGGAGAAGCTCAGCGTTTCCAGGCGACCCTGGCGCCCTGGGACTGTCGGGGGGTCGGAGTCCCATGAGCATCTCCCCGTGGCTGGTACAGTCACTGTGCCTGGATGGCACCCTGTGCCAGAGACGAGGGAGGGGGCAGGCACAGCCCTGCATGTGCAGAGCTTTGTGGGGAGTGAGGGGTGTCGAGAATCAGGCCTTCACCTGGCGGCCTGGCTCAGCGGTAGAGCATTGAGCATGCACCAGGAGGTCACAGCTGATTCCTGGTCAGCATGCATGCCCAGGTTCCAGGCTCAATCCCCAGTAGGGGGTGTGCAGGAGGCAGCTGATCAATTCTTTCATCGATGTTTCTTTCATCTCTCCCGTCCTCTCTAAAGTCAATAAAAACATGAAAAAGAATCAGGCCTTCAGTGTGCCCCGCCTCCCACAGTTCACGAAGCATCCCTCTGCCCTACAACACCTGTTGGGTCTGCCAGGGGCTGGGCTGGCGGCCAGAGGCAGCGTGGGCTGTGCTCCATAGCCAGCCTTCGGGGTGTCCAGGGCACCAGGAGGTTACACAGCTCACCCAGCTTAGGAGTCCGGGTGCTGGCTGCCCGCGCAGGTGGGCCTGGAAGGTGGGTGGGAACAGCATCCTGTGTGGAAATGGGGGGCTGCCATGTCTGAGGATGAACCGAAAATCGAAGGGGTCACAAAAATGGGCAAAGGCTGAGAAAGTGATTTCATTTACTTTTGAAAGCAGTTCCTGTTCACAACAAAGGCGCAGGCAGTCTCTAGGGGGAGCGCCGATGACAGGCAGGTAAGTTCCCGGAAACCCACCCATGAGCAGGTCAGAGGCGTCCCCCCTCCCGCTACTCCCATCGCAGAGCATTCGTGACTCAGAACCAATGACTCAGCTTTTGGGGAATCGGTTGGCCCTGGGACTTTGGTCTCCAGGGCACTGTCCCAGGAGGAAATGACAAGCTCAAAACTGGGCAGGAGGGGCCTCTGCCAAATGCCACCCCCTTTGTCTGGAAGAGCTTTCGGCGTCCTGCCTCCTGGGGGCTGCGCTGTGCTGGTCACGCCATTTTACATGGGAAAGAAAGCGCCATTCACCCTGGGGCGGGGGGTGCAGATGCCAGCCCAGCCTTCCCACGTGCAAGGGGCCTGCTGGGCAGACTCGGCCGAGGGCATCACAGAGCTCGCCCCCCCAGGAAGCCGTGGGAGTGGTGGCTGGCCGAGCTGGAGAGCTGCACGTTGGGGTGGTCAGTCCTCGGGAGCAGCCTTTGTGGGGCCCGTGATGCACTGCCTCCAGGGTCTCCTCTGAAAGGGGGGGACGCACCCCCACACCGGCTCCGCACACAGGCCCCTCAAGCCAATGCACCTTCCGATCAGTGGCTTCTCTGAGGTGTCGCCTGCACCGCGGGGGCCAGGCCTGAGCGTCTGCACTCCTAGCGGCCTCCTTGCAGGATGGCTGATGCTGCAGACCCCAGGCCACCTTGACGAGCACCTGCCCTCCCATTTGACAGAGGGAGTGAGCTGCTGGCCTCACCGCCGGCTCAGTGGGGTGCACAGGTCTGTGGCCCTGAGTCCTGCCCTGTCCCTTCAGCCTCAGGTTCGTCCCTGAGGTGCTGTGATAAGGGGTGTCACTCTAGCATAAGTATATCCCAATCAGTATTTGTGTTACACTAAACATTTAGATGGTTCATCTGAAACTCAAAACTGGCTGGTATTCCTGGCCAGTGTGGCTCGGCCGTTGAGTGTTGGTCCAGGAACCAAAGGTTGCCGGCTCAGTTCGATCCCTGGCCAGGGCACATGCTTGGGTGGTGGGCTCAATCCCCCGTGGGCTGTGCAGGAGGCAGCCAGTCGATGCCCCTCTCCCATCCACGCTTCTCTCTATCCCTCTCCCTTCCTCTCCTAAAACAACACCACCACACTAGCTGGCGTCCTGCTTCTTGGCTAAATCTGGCACCCAGGAGCCTCCCTGAGCCCAGCCGGGCTGCGATGCCCTTTCCGGGGTGTACAGTGGGCGCAGTAGCACCTGCCTGTCTTCACTCCCAGCGAGTGCCCGCGGCACTGCTTGCTGCCTGGACGTGGACACATCCTTCACTCAGAATCTGGGTTCCGACAGCTGGGGAAGGAGAGCCCACGTCTCAGCTTGCAGGCTGTTTGGCCCGGTGAGCCAGGAGCTAGCCAGCACCAAGGCCCGGGCCAGTGCCTGGCCAGGCAGCACCCCACCCTGACCTCGGACTGGCTGCAGTCTGATGGCCCGGAGACTCACAGCCAGCCCTCGACTCCTGCGCTGGCTGCCTGTCCACACGGGCTCCCCTGACCCTCAGAGGCTCCTGTGCTGGTGGCTGCCCTTCGCCCCCACCTCCTGCACTTGGGGACTGGGTTCAGGGCCAGGTCGCTCCTGGGCCTCTCGAGGAGGCACCCATTTCCAGTTATTAAACTTGTCAAGTCCAGCAGCAGACCTAGCACAGTGCAGGGGAAGCTGGGGACCGGGCAGCTCGGGCACTGATGATGGCAGGGGAGCTTATCCGAACCCCTGAGGCGTCAGTGCGAGGATCCCGTAAGCAATCCGTGCATCCTCAACTGCCCACGGAGGAGCTGAGCACGCACGCGGGGCCATAAACGTGGGGCCAGGATCGATTCCTTATTTAAGGAAATAGATGCCAAATGAGGAAATACAGTGAAACCCAAAGACGTCAACCAGACACTTACTCATCTGACGAGATAAAGAAACCAGCGAGGTGAGTGATCGGCCTGTGGGACTCACCCCAGCAATCAGCAGGCTGATAAGGCGCGGAGGGAGGCTGAGTAAGAATTGGGACAGGGGCACGAGGGGTGCAGACGCCTCTGTCAGTGTGAATCTGCTCCACAGCCTGGCAGGCCATGTGCAAAGGGAGCCAAGTGGCAGACTGTGGGTGTCCCAGAGGGGACCCTAAAAGTCCATGCCGGGCTCCATTCCTAGGGGTTCCCCGGGGCCACCCTTGGATCGATGGGGTGGGCTGGGCCCCTAGGGCTCCACAAGGGCCACAGGAGCCTGAAGCTGCCCATGTCCTCCACCAGCGCCCGATCCTCCTCCCTGGGGGGGACCCTGGGCAGGTCCCCACATCCCCCAAGGTCCCTGGTGAGCCCACTCTTTAATGCACCCTGGTTGGCTTCCTGCTGCCCCTGGAACCCCTGTCTCAGGTGCTGCTGGGGAGACACCAGGAGGAGGGGAGACAGCAGGGACGGTGCCGCCTGGAGGTGCCCATGGAGGCTCCTGCACCGGCCCAGCTGTTGAAGCTCCTCTGCAGACTCAGGGCTGCCCCGCCCCCTCCCCTGGCCCCTACCCCTGCCTGTCTTCCCGGATAGGTGCTTGCCCTTGGTGACCCTCCGACCGGGTCAGGCCAGGGTCCAGAAAACAGAAGGGAGGCAGGAGGTCCCTACAGCTTCCTCCAGCAGGCGGCCACAGGGACCTTCCCCAGGCAGCCCGATAAGCTCCGCCCGGGCGCGGGGGCCAAGGTCGGCCTATCTTGGCGGCAGGCAGATCCCTATCAGAGGGCGAGGAGCCTGTTGGGTGGGGTTCCCAGCGACACCCTGGCCTCCGGGGGTGGGGGCAGAGAGGCTGTGGCTCCCACTTCTGGGGCACGGTCAGCCCTCAGCAAACCCCTCCTTCCGCCCAGAGGAGGAGACCGATGTCACTGCATCACGCCACCCGAGTGTCCCCTGTTATTGGGCTGTTAATATTAATTAACAACGGTTGCTAAGGGTGACAGTGCAAGGGTGTGTCCAGCCAGGGCCCGCCTGGTCCCAAGGGGGGGCTGGGGCCATGGGGGTCCGGGCCGCGTGGGGGTGGGGGAGCGAGTGTGCGGCTGTGCGGGTCCCCAGCTGCCTCAGCCCTCGGCCTGGGGCGTTGGGAAGGGGGTGACAGGAGACCCTGTACCTCCGTCCCCTCGCTCCCCCGAGAGAGTGGGCCAAGCGGGGCGGGGCGGGCGGTGGATCATTAACCCGGGAGCCCTGGCGGGTGCCGGGCGGCCCTATTGGTCCCCCACCATCAGGCCAGGCTGTCCCTGGCAGGAGGCTGCCCTGCTGGTGCCCCCTGGACCCAGCCCTTCGCTGAGCCCGACTGTCCGTGGCCTCAGTTCCCTCTCGCCCCTTCCTGGCGCCGGGATGGCAGAGGCCCGCCCGCGGGGCTGGCTGCTCTGGGTGCTGCTCCTGCAGGCGGTGAGTCCGGCACCTGCACCCTGCTGGGGCCTCCCCTCTCGAGTCCTGGGCACGGGGGTCCTTGGTGACAGTCAGGGAGGGCCTGGGCCTCGGGGATCCGGTCTCTGGACAGACGGGGAATCCCAGGCGCCCAGAGGAGGGGTGTGGACGGAGGTCCTGGGCTGCCCCAGTCTCCAGGCCAAGGGGCTGTTTGGACACAGGGCTGCGGAGGGGCCGCTGGCCTGGGTGTGACCAGGGGCCTCCCATCCCTGGGCTGCTGTGGACGCCCTGGCCTGAGGTGGGCGGTGGCTTCTGAGTCTCCCACCGTGGACTTAGCAGCTGCCGCTGCTGTTTCTCACTCACTGCAGGCCTGGGAGGAGGGTGTAGGCTCGGGCCCCAGGAGGGGAGGGCAGGGAAGCCGGGCACTGATGCCCCAGGGGCCCCTGCCTCCGGTGTGGCCTGCGGCTTGGGCACCGTGGTGGCCAATGGCACTGGTGATGGTGCCCATGTGCTCAGCGCCGGTACCACTCGACCCCCTAGAGTCATCCCTGACCTGTGACCTTGCCACATGCACGTCTGTTGGGTTGCCTCCTTCCCTGTCTCTCTCTTAAACATATTTTAATTTATTTCAGAGAGGAAGGGAGAGGGAGAGAGAGAAACGTTAATAATGAGAGAGAATCATGGATCGGCTGCCTCCTGCACACCCCCCACTGGGGATCGAGCCCACAACCCAGGCGTGTGCCCTGACCAGGGATTGTCCTGTGCCTCCTGGTTCATGAGTCAACGCTCAACCACTGAGCCACACGGCCAGGGCTCACCTCCCTCTCTTCAGTGACCTGATGAAAGCCCATCACCCCCAGACACCACCCGGAGGCCTCTGCACCCCCAGGGCTCCCCAGTTCCCAGCCGTGTGTAGCTGCCATGGCCACCCCCCACAGGCCTTGCATCCCTCCTAAGCCCAGGTCCCCAGCCCCCCTGGCTGAGGGTGCGGGGCCCCTGGTGAGCCTGCCCTGCTCCCCAGGCCCAGGCCCAGCCGTACACGCCCATCCACCAGCCCGGCTACTGCGCCTTCTACGACGAGTGCGGAAAGAACCCCGAGCTGTCGGGAAGCCTGGCGGGCCTGGCCAACGTGTCCTGCCTGAACAACACGCGTGCCCCCCGCGTCACGGGCGACCACCTGGCCCTGCTGCAGCGCGTCTGCCCCCGCCTCTACGCCGGCCCCGACGCCACCTTCGCCTGCTGCTCCCGGAAGCAGCTGCTGTCGCTGGAGAACAGCATGGCCATCACCAAGGCGCTGCTGACCCGCTGCCCCGCCTGTGCGGACAACTTCGTGAGCCTGCACTGCCACAACACCTGCAGCCCCGACCAGAGCACCTTCGTCAACGTGACGCGGGTGGCCGTGCGGGGGGCCGGCAAGCCCCCGGCCGTGGTGGCCTACGAGGCCTTCTACCGGCGCAGCTTCGCCGAGCGGACCTATGACTCCTGCAGCCGGGTGCGCATCCCCGCGGCCGCCACGCTGGCTGTGGGCGCCATGTGCGGGGTCTACGGCTCCGCCCTCTGCAACGCCCAGCGCTGGCTCAACTACCAGGGCGACACGAGCAATGGCCTGGCCCCGCTGGACATCACCTTCCACCTGTGGGAGCCCGACCAGGCCGCAGGGAGCCCCATGCAGCCCCTGGACGCGGAGCTCACCCCCTGCAACCAGTCCCAGGGCGGGGCGGCCGCCTGCTCCTGCCAGGACTGCGCGGCGTCCTGCCCCGCCATCGACCGGCCCGAGGCCCTGGACGCCACCTTCCGCCTGGGCCGCCTGGCGGGCGGGCTGGCCCTCATCCTCATCCTGTGCTCCGTCCTGGCCGTGCTCACAGCCTTCCTCGTGGGCACCCGCCTGCTCTCCAGGACCCGGGACCCCAAGGCCGGCCCCAGCGTCTCCAACACGCTCAGCCTCTCCACCCACACCTTCCTCAGCGCCTGCTTCGAGGGCTGGGGCACGTGGGTGGCCTCCTGGCCGTGGACCGTCCTGCTGGTGTCCACGGCTGTGGTGGCGGCCTTGGCCGGAGGGCTGGCCTTCACGAAACTGACCACAGACCCCGTGGAGCTGTGGTCGGCCCCCAACAGCCAGGCCCGGCGGGAGAAGGCGTTCCACGACCAGCACTTTGGGCCCTTCTTCCGCACCAACCAGGTGATCCTGACGGCGCCCAGCCGGCCCAGCTACCAGTACGACTCCCTGCTGCTGGGGCCCAAGACCTTCGGGGGGGTGCTGGGCACGGACCTGCTGCTGGCGCTGCTGGAGCTGCAGGAGCGGCTGCGGCACCTACAGGTGTGGTCGCCCCAGGAGCAGCGCAACGTCTCCCTGCGGGACGTCTGCTACGCGCCCCTGAACCCCAACAACGCCAGCCTCGCCGACTGCTGCATCAACAGCCTCCTGCAGTACTTCCAGAGCAACCGCACGCGCCTGCTGCTCACCGCCAACCAGACGCTCACGGGGCAGACGGCCCAGGTGGACTGGAGGGACCACTTCCTCTACTGCGCCAAGTGAGTCCCCCGCGGTGCAGGCGGCCGGGGCGCGCGGCCTCCCTCTGGGACCAGGCCAGGCGCTCCGTCCGCCACCGAGAGGCCTCATGGCTCCTCGGGGTCCCAGTCTCAGGCCGTGCGTCCCTGGTGGGGTCCCCCCCCCCCCGCTCGCTGGGGCAGGCGTGCAGGTGGCCCTGGTGGGCTCCTGGGAGCAGGGAGCCTCCTTGTCTGCGTGTCAGGGGCTGCCTCCCAGCGTGGGGTCCTGTGCGGAGAGGGTGTCCGGCCTCGCGAGAGGGAGGAGTGCGGTGCGGCCTTTCTGGGTAACTGCGCTTTCAGCCAGTGGTTTTCTCTTCTTTTTGTTGACCCTCCCCTGAGGATATGTTTCCATTGATTTTTTTTTTTAAATATATTTTATTGATTTTTTACAGAGAGGAAGGGAGAGAGATAGTTAGAAACATCGATGAGAGAGGAAGATCGATCAGCTGCCTCCTGCACATCTCCTACTGGGGATGTGCCCGCAACCCAGGTACATGCCCTTGACCGGAATCGAACCTGGGACCTTTCAGTCCGCAAACCGACGCTCTATCCACCGAGCCAAACCGGTTTTGGCTCCATTGATTTTTTAAAAATATGTATTTTTATTGATTTCAGAGAGGAAGGGAGAGGGAGATAGAATCATCAATGATAAGAGAGAATCATCGATCGGCGCCCTCTGCACACCCCCTACTGGGGATTGAGCCCATAACCTGGGCATGTGCCCTTGACCAGAATTGAACCTGGGACCCTTCAGTCCGCAGGCTATCGCTCTATCCACTGAGCCCACCGGCCAGGCCTGTGGTCTTTTCTTAACTGTGAGCAGCCATGTGGTGCAGAAGCCACGTCCGTGGCCTGTTGTACTTCACACACTCAAGAGTGAAGGGCGTGGAGGTCTCGGGAAAGCAGTTCCGACCTTGCAGACCCTCGGCCCCTGCATGGAGGGCGCGCCGTGTTTGAGCTGCTCCCCAAGGTCTGCACCTGGGCCTCAGGGGTCCTCCTGGCTGCAGGTCTGGGGCAGCTCAGGCCTGGTCCCCACCTTCACACTGGCGTCATTTTGATTCTGGAAGCTCACAACCACTCGTGGGTGGTCCGATTGTTCTTCTTTGAGAGACAGGGAGGGGTGGAGAACTGCTCAAGGTCACATGCAGCTCCTACTCCCAGGACAGCTGGTCACCATGGGCTCCCTCTCCAAGAGCCCTCTGCTCAGGCACCTGTGATGCGCTGGCCGAAAGAGCTGTTGAAAGCCTAGAAACTGGCCCGAGGTTGCTGGGTCCGCAAACTGTCACAGGAAAGAAAGATACACTGGGGCCTGGAGGGAGGAGGAGGCTGAGGGCGCATGAGCCGGTGCGGCTCTGGGGCTGGTCAGGATTGGGCATCGTCGGGCCCCACCCAGGGGACCAGGTGTGAGGCCTGGAGGACCAGGTGTGAGGCTCGTCCGGGATGAGATGGTGATGGGCCTGGAGGTCTGGAGGGGGAGGTGTGTGAGCTCACACTGCACTGGGCCAGAGACACGGTTCTGACCAGGGGTCGGGACTGGCGCTGGGCCGGGGGCAGGGCAGGGGCGGGAGTGGGTCCTGGGAAGCCCTTCCTCTCCCCCCAGTGCCCCGCTCACCTTCAAGGATGGCACGGCCCTGGCCCTGAGCTGCATGGCTGACTACGGGGCCCCCGTCTTCCCTTTTCTTGCCGTGGGGGGCTACAAAGGTAAGTGGGTCACCTGGGGAGGTGAGGAGGGTGGCATGGGGGGTGTGACTGCCGTGGGGGCTGGGTGGGGGGTAGACCCGCCGCCCTCCACCTCCTCCACCTTCTCCCAGCGCCGCTCAGATGCTCCGGCTGAGAGGGAAGTGGGTGTGGGTTAGACAGTGACTCAGAGAGAAGGTGGAGGCGGGCAGGTGAGCTGGAGGGGGCTGAGCACGTCTCCTCCCAGGGAACGACTACTCAGCGGCCGAGGCCCTGATCCTGACCTTCTCCCTCAACAACTACCCTCCCGGCGACCCCCGGCTGGCCCAGGCCCGGCTCTGGGAGGGGGCCTTCCTGGAGGAGATGCGAGCCTTCCAGCAGCAGATGGCCGGCACGCTCCAGGTCACCTTCATGGCGGAGGTAGGGCCGCAGGTCCCCAGCTCGGGGACACCCCAGGTGGCTGGGGGGCTTCCTGTGGCCCCATCCGGTTCTTCCTGAGTGACTCACAGCGGACCAGGGTCAGTGGGCTGGTGGGTGTGTCCACAGCGCTCCCTGGAGGACGAGATCAGCCGGACCACAGCCGAGGACCTGCCCATCTTTGCCATCAGCTACCTGGTCATCTTCCTGTACATCTCCCTGGCCCTGGGCGGCTACACTAGCTGGCGCCGCATGCTGGTGAGGGGGGGTGTGGGGAGGGGCTGGGGGGGCGCAGGAGGGCAGCAATACCTTCCAACCAGACGTCTGGCTGCAGGGGACACCCCACCGAGGCTCCCCGGGGTGGTGCGCTCCCCCGGCACCCACGGGGGCCCATCGCCAGCCCTGCACAGGAGGCTGACCCCATCCCCTTGCAGGTGGACGCCAAGGTCACGCTGGGCCTGGGCGGGGTGGCCGTGGTGCTGGGCGCTGTGATGGCTGCCATGGGCCTCTTCGCCTACCTGAGCGTCCCTTCCTCCCTGGTGGTTCTGCAAGTGGTACCTTTCCTGGTGCTGGCTGTGGGGGCGGACAACATCTTCATCTTCGTCCTGGAGTACCAGGTGAGTGGGGCGCCCTGCCCGACACCCCCAGAAGCCTCCAGGTGGGTTCCTGGGTGCTCTCCCCAGATGCCCCGTGTGGTTCCCAGGGCTTCCCTCCCTGACGCTGTCCTCATCCCTGCAGAGGCTTTGCTGTGGGTCTGTCACCCACATACCACCCTGTCACCTGCTCTCGCCCAGGTGCCCTCTGTAGGGTGTCAGGCCGCACATGGGGGCACCAGGTAGCGTCCAGGGGAGGGAGTCAGTTGATTTAGCCTCTGCTGTTGGTGGATGTTGAGGTCCCAATGGCCATTGAGCCAAGGATGCCACAGACACCCCAAAACACACCCTGCATCCCTCTGGGCCAGGCTGAGAAGGGGGGGCTGGGAAGGTCGGCCGGCTGCCCCTCAGGCTCAGCCGGGACTCTGGGTGATGCTGTGCAGGAGGGAGGGCACCTGCCCACCCACTGGCCAGCCCTTGACCCCGTCCTTGCTGTCCCCCCTCACCAGAGGCTGCCCCGGAGGCCTGGGGAGCGGCGGGAGGTGCACATCGGCCGGGCGCTGGGCCGTGTGGGGCCCAGCATGCTGCTGTGCAGTATCTCCGAGGCCGTCTGCTTCTTCCTGGGTGAGAAGCCCCTGCCCCCCACTTCCCGGCCTGGGCAGCAGGGTGCGGGCAGCCCCCCTGCACCTGTGAGCAGACACCGTGTCCTGAGTCTCCTCTGTCCCCCAGGGGCCCTGACCCCCATGCCTGCCGTGCGGACCTTTGCGCTGACCTCTGGCCTCGCCCTGATCCTGGACTTCCTGCTGCAGATGTCGGCCTTCGTGGCCCTGGTGTCCCTCGACAGCAGGAGGCAGGAGGTGGGGGACCCGCTCGCCCGTTCTGGACGGGGTGGGGGAGGGGGCCTTCACTTTGTAAAGAGGCTCGGAGTGGGCTTGGGGCAGGGACGCTGTGGGGAACGTGCGGGCCTCGTCGTCCCCTGTCCCGCAGAAAAGCAGTTTTGTTTTGGTCATTTTGGGGACTTGGATCAAACTTCCCAAAGTGCATGTGGGTCAGGGTCTCGGCGCGAGGGAGCTGCTGCCTCTGCACAGAGCGCACAGGGGCGCGGCCCGGGGGAAAGTGCCCGCGGGCAGTGCCCTCGCTGGCCTGTGCGGCCCGGCGGGAGGGTGGCGGCCCTGGGCTGCTGGGGGCCACCTGGGATGGTGCCTCCACAGGCCTCCCGGCTGGACGTCTGCTGCTGCCTGCGCGCCCAGGAGCTGCCGGCTCCCAGCCAACGCGAGGGGCACCTGCTCCGGTTCTTCCGCAAGGTCTACGCCCCTTTCCTGCTGCACCGGGTCACCCGCGTGGTTGTGGTGAGTGGGGCGGGCGGGCAGCCGGTCCTCACCCCGGGCGGGGCGGGGGCTGCTCAGCCCGACCCTCACCTCGCGGTCCTTGGCCATGGAGAGCTCACCCAGGTCCGGGTGCAGGTGTGGAAGCCCGGGGTGGGGTGGCAGCGGGGACTCAGGTTCAGCTGGGATGCCTCTGAGAGCAGCCAGCCAGACCCAGGTCGGGAGAGCGGGAGCCTGTGCCGGTGACTCACGTGGTTCCCTCCAGGTGCTGCTGTTCCTGGCCCTGTTCGGGGTGGGCCTCTACTTCATGTGCCACATCAGTGTGGGGCTGGACCAGGAGCTGGCCCTGCCCAAGGTGAGCTGTGCACGGGGCCTCGGGCCTCGGGGCGGGGGATCCGGACACGGCAGGCGGGGCAGCCTGTGTAGTCGGGTGCAGGACCCTTCCAGAGTGGGCGGGGAGAGACCTCGTCTGGCAAAACGGACACCAGGTCCTCATGAACCACTCACGCCCACGCTCTCCCTCCCAGCCCTGGCACCGCCATTCCATCTTCCGTCTCCGATTTAGGGACCTCATGTGAGTGGAATCACACACTAGTTCTCCTTTTGTCACGGCTTATTGCACTCAGTGTCATGTCCTCACAATTCACCCGTGTTGTGCCAGGTGTCAGCATTTCCTTCCTTTTAAGGCGAATAATATCTATGCACACACACATTCACATATACATCTCACATCTTGTTCAGCTGTTCATCCGTCGATGCAGACTTGGGTTCTCCTTGTCTTAGCTGTTGTGAATCATGCTGCTACGAACACAAATGTCCAGATGAGTCCCTGCTTTCCATTCTTTTGGATAAACACCCAGAGGTGGGCTTGTTGGGTACAGTAGTTCTGTTTTAAGTTGTTGAGGGTTCTCCCATCTACTTCCTTAGCGGTTGCACCGATTTACATTCCCACCAACAGCGCACAAGGGTTCCAATTTTTCCACATTCTGGCCAGCACTTACTGTGTTCTGCCCGCCCGCTCCCTGCCCCTCTTTTTTGATGGTAGCTATGCTGATTGGTGTGAGGTGGTAGCTCACTGTAGTTTGTACCTGTATTTCACTAATGACTAATGATGTCGACTTTCTTTTTATGTATCTTTTTTGGAGAATTGTCTATTCAAGTCTTTTGCCCATTTTTGAATCAGGTCGGGTTTCTATTTTATTTTATTTATTTATTTTTTTAAATATATTTTATTGATTTTTTACAGAGAGGAAGGGAGAGAGATAGAGAGTTAGAAACATCGATGAGAGAGAAACATCGATCAGCTGCCTCCTGCACATCTCCCACTGTGGATGTGCCCGCAACCCAGGTACATGCCCTTGACCGGAATCGAACCTGGGACCCTTCAGTCCACAGGCCGACGCTCTATCCACTGAGCCAAACCGGCCTCGGCGGGTTTCTATTTTAAATTATTCATTGTTCATGAAATAAATGCAGCTGAGTTTTGCCTGTTGGTTTTCGTATCCTGCAACTTTGCTGAACCTGTTTATTCATTCTAACAGGTTTTTAGTGGAATTCTAGATTTTATCATCTATGAACAGAGATTTGTTATGCCTTCCTTTCCAGTTTGGGTGCCTTTTATTCCTTTTTCTTGCCTATTTGCTCTGCAGTTTCAAACACTCTGTTGAATGACTGTGGTGGCCGTGGGCACCCTTGTCTTGTTCCTAATCTTAGAGGAAACACTTTCAGTTTGTCACTGTTAAGTATGATATTAGCTGTGGGGTTTTCATATATGGCCTTTATCATGTTGAGAAATTTTCCTATATTTCTACTTTGCTGAATTTTTCTTTAATTGATTAATTTTAGAGAGAGAGAGAGAGGAAGAGCGAGAGACAGACAGAGAGAAACATCAATTTGTCGTCCCACTTATTGATGCATTCATTGGTTGATTCCCTGTGTGTCCTGAGCAGGGATTAAGCCCATGATCTTGGTGTATCAGGATGATGCTCTAACTAACTGAGCTACCCGGTCAGGGCCCTGAGTTGGTGTGCTTGTTTGTTTTCTTAATCATAAAAGGATTTGGGATTTTGTGAAACGCTTTTTCTATGTCAATTGAGATGGTCATCTGATTTTATTTTCATTCTATTAATGTGGTATATTACATAGGTTGATTTTCATGCATTGAACCATCCTTGTATTTTCTGGGAATATATCCCACTTGATCATGGTGTATCATCCTTTTAATAGACAGACAGTTCCTGACTTAAGATCGTTCATCCTACAGTGGTGTGGAGGTGACACGCAGTCAGTAGAAACTGTACTTCAAATTTTGAATTTTGATCTTTTCCTGGGCCAGAGATGTGCTGCTGGTCAGACAAGTGATTATGAGGGTAGAGAGCCAGCACTCCACGGTGCACTGTGTCCCCAGCCCTTGTCTGGATCTTGTGTTTGAGCACGTTTAAGGCAGCAGGCTAAGCACATGTCAGCAGGCTCGGTGTATTAAAGTGCCGCTCGTGATGTGTGACGTGTCCCAAGAAGCAGAGGGGCGTCACGGCGTCGGAAGGAAAGGCTGGAGTGCTTGCGATGTGCCGTCGATGGGCAAGGGGAGCCATTTGCGGCTGGTGCCACGGAGGCTCTGCCCCAGGGTCTGCAGCGTCGCTGCCCACTGTCTCACTGTGTGGGAGAGTCCAGTGCTGGGACCAGGGTGAGGAACGAGAGGAAGTCTGTGGGGCTGTCGCTGCAGCTGCACCTGCGGCGGGAAAACCTCGCGCTCCTGGTGAAACCCTTCGTCCCAGACTGAGAAGAGGGCTTTTCCGGGCTGCAGGTGGCTGTGAGAAAGGCCTGTGGACTCCAACTGGCCGTGGAGAGCAAATCATCGCACGGCAGCTCGAAAAGAAGGCGAAGGGTCCAAAGCTGGAGAAGTTCATGCCAGCAGGGGGTGGTCGGGTCCTTTTAGAAAGAGGTTTGGCCTAAAAAAATGCCAAGATAACAGAAGAAGCGTTTCTGACTCAGACAATTCCCGGACCCATAAAGAGAATTGCCGAGGCGCAGGAGGTCTGTCCGAACAGGTGCCTGGAAGGAAGTGTCAGGAAGGCCTTTTCTGTGAGGAGGAGAAGACGCACCGCACCTAAGAGGCAGGGGTGAGCTGAAGCCATTTGTGCAAACACAGCCGGTTTGGCTCAGAACGGCCTTATCGCGAAAGCTGCTAATCCCCAGCCTGGAGGGAAGATAAACACCAGCTGGCAGTCCTTGGCAGCCCCCGGAGACGTCTGGACAGTGAGAGCCCTTGATGGGTGGGCTCCACGGGCGCTCAGTCCCTGAGGCCAGGAAGTGCCTGGCCGGTGAGGGACTGTCTTCAAGTTCTTTTTTTTTTTTTTGAAATATATATTATTGATTTTTTACAGAGAGGAAGGGAGAGAGATAGAGAGTTAGAAACATCGATGAGAGAGAAACATCGATCAGCAGCTGCCTCCTGCACACCCACTACTGGGGATTTGCCCACAACCAACGCACATGCCCTTGACCAGAATCGAACCCGGGACCCTTCAGTCCACAGGCCAATGCACTATCCATTGAGCCAAACCATCCAGGGCAGTTATTTTTAATGTACATTTTAGCAGCATTAAGTACATGCACAATTCTTTCTTTTTTTTTGTTTTTTCTTTTTTTTGGTTTTTGTTTTTGTTTTTGTTTTTTTGTTTTTTTTTAATTAAATCTTTATTGTTCAGATTATTACATTTGTTCCTCTTTTTCCCCCCCATAACTCCCCTCCTCCCAGTTCCCGCCCCACCCTCCGCCCTCACTCCCCACCCACTGTCCTCATCCATAGGTGCACGATTTTTGTCCAGTCTCTTCCCGCATCCCCCACACCCCTTTCCCCCCCAAGAATAGTCAGTCCATTCCCTTTCTATGTCCCTGATTCTATTATAATCACCAGTTCATTCTGTTCATCAGATTATTTATTCACTTGATTCTTAGATTCACTTGTTGATAGATGCATATTTGTTGTTCATAATTTGTATCTTTACCTTTTTCTTCCTCTTCCTCTTCTTAAAGGATACCTTTCAGCATTTCATATAATCCTGGTTTGGTGGTGATGAACTCCTTTAGCTTTTCCTTATCTGTGAAGCTCTTTATCTGACCTTCAATTCTGAATGATAGCTTTGCTGGATAAAGTAATCTTGGTTGTAGGTTCTTGGTATTCATCACTTTGAATATTTCTTGCCACTCCCTTCTGGCCTGCAAAGTTTCTGTTGAGAAATCAGCTGACAGTCGTATGGGTATTCCCTTGTAGGTAACTGAGTTTCTTTCTCTTGCTGTTTTTAAGATTCTCTCTTTATCTTTTGCTCTTGGCATTTTAATTATGATGTGTCTTGGTGTGGTCCTCTTTGGATTCCTTTTGTTTGTGGTTCTCTGCGCTTCTTGGACTTGTAAGTCCATTTCTTTCACCAGGTGGGGGAAGTTTTCTGTCATTATTTCTTCAAATAGGTTTTCAATATTTTGCTCTCTCTCATCTTCTGTCACCCCTATAATTCGGATGTTGGTACGCTTGAAGCTGTCCCAGAGGCTCCTTACACTATCCTCGCATTTTTGGATTCTTTTTTCATTTTGCTTTTCCAGTTGGGTGTTTTTTGCTTCCTCGCATTTCAAATCATTGACTTGATTCTTGCGCTCCTCTGGTCTGCTGTCGGGAGTCTGTATAATATTCGTTATTTCAGTCCGTGTATGCTTAATTTCTAGTTGGTTCCCCAATATAACATCGAGGGTCTCATTAGTTTTCTTGTAGATCTCATTAAGTTTATTGGCGGCTTCTAAACAGTTCTTGAGAGACCTTAAAAGTGTGGTTCTGAACTCTATATCTTCCATTGACAATTTTGTCCTGTTTCTTTGTCTCCGCATTTTGTTATGCTTCCTTGGTGCACCCCCTAGTGGTCTTTGTGTGCAGTCTTATAGTTAAACCTTGATTGTTGTAGCTAATACCAGGGAGGGTTTGACCTCCAGGCCAAGTGGCTGTGAGAGTCAGCTGTGTCTGCAGTGAGAGAACTTCTGTCCTCTAGGGAGGTGCTAATCTAGCCTTTGCCTGAGGCTATCCGGCAAATGCCTCTGTGCAGGGCTTGGGCGGGGCGGGTCGCACAGGATCAACAGGGTGGGCCAGAGAGAGCAGTTATGGCGGCTCTCAGTCCTGTCCCCAGGGGCTCTGCCTCTCTGAGTCCCAGCACCCGCTGCAAAGCTCAGAGAGAAAGCTGCACTCGCTCTGACCGAAGCCAGACAGTCCCGCTTCTCCCGTTTGAGTCTGGGTCCCTAAAGACTCGCCCGGATCTGGAGCTCAGAGTCTGGGACTCCCTCCCGATTGAAAACGCCAACCGCGTCCTCCGCCGCCAGCCCGCTCCGCACACTCCGCACCTCAGAATTTGACTTCAGCACTGCGCCTCCTCTGAGTGTCCGTATGCGTTTCTCTTTCCTCCTAGCTGTAGGACTTCCACTCAGCCAGCGTTCCTGTGGTTCTGGGTGATGACCGTTCAGTTTTTTAGTTTCACTTTTGAAGTAGTTGTTCAAGGCAGCAAACCTTGCCGCCATCTTGGTTCTCCACAATTCTTTCTTTTTTAAAATATATTTTTTATTGACTTCAGAGAGGAAGGGAGATGGGGGGAGAGATGGAAACATCTATGAGGAGAGAGAATCATTGATCGTCTGCCTCCTGCACACCCCCTACTGGGGATCGAGTTGGCAACCCAGGCATGTGCCCTGACAGGGAATTGAACTGTGACCTCCTGGTTCATAGGTCAACGCTCAACCACTGAGCCACACTGGCCAGGCCCTTAGGACTTTCTTAATAGCGTTTTCTTTTCTCCAGCTTACGTTAGTGTAAGAATACAGTATATAACACATGCACCATACAGGATATGTGTTAATTCACTGCTGTTATTGATAAGGCTTCTGGTCAATGGTGGACTGTTAGTAGTTAAGTTTGGGGGATTTTCACTAGGTGGGAGGCGGGCACCTCGAACCCCTGCATGTTCAAGGGTCGGCTGTGTTTGCCTTTCCAGGGGCTTTTAGTTCCTTCTATGGCCTTTGCTTCAACCCGAAGGGCTCCCGTAGCGTCTCTGGCCCAGGTCCTGTGGCTTTTGTTGATCTGGGAGTGCCTCAGTTTGTCCCTCGTTCTTGAAGAACAGTTTTGCTAGAAAGAGGATTCTTTTTTATTTTTTATTTGAAGGGTTTTTAAATTATTTTATGTACAAAGGAATAGCATTCTGTGATAAGGTGGATGTCCTGAACGACCCATTCACGGAAGTTCACTTAGTCCAACGGATGAATCCCATGTCCGTCGCGTCCTGACGGACACCTGTGGAGGCCCTACGTCCGGGTCAGACGCTGGCGGGTTGAGCAGACGCAGCAAGAACGGGGGCCTGGCCGTGTCCTCGTGCTCCAGCAGAGCTGCTGGTGGCCCCTCTTGCTCTCTCTGTAGCAACGAGGCAAAAGGGAGAAAGAGGATTCGTGATGGACAGTCCTTCTCCCTTCAGCTCTTTGAATATACGAACCTGCTGCCCCGTGGCCTCCAAGGCTTCTGATGAGCATGTGCTTAATGACACTGAGGTTCTTTGCTTGTCACAGGCCTCCTCTATCGTGGTGCTTGCAGAATCCCCCTTGTCTTTGTCTTTCAACAGCTGGATTATAATGTGCCTTGGTGTGGGTCTCTGGAGTTATTTTATTTTATTAAATTGTTTTATTTTTTAGAGAGTGAGGGAGGGAGGGAGGAAGACGGGGGGGGGGGGAGAGATAGGAAGAGAGAGAGGAAGAGAGAGAGAAAGAGATCCCACACGCACCCTGACTGGGGATCAGAATCAAAACCTGGGTATATGCTATGACCAGGAATTGAACTCTCCACCTTCGGAGTTTGGAATGACGCTCCGACCAACTGAGCCACACTGGACAGGGCTCTTGGAGTTTGTTAAGCTTCTTGGATGTTTTATCTTTCATCAAATTTGGGAAATTTTGGCCATTATTTCTGCACGTAATCCTTCTCCCTCCTTCTGGGACGCCTATGATGTGTGTGGGTCTGTTTGATGGTGCCCACAGGGGCCTCATCTGCCCACAGGGGCCTCTGTGAGTGCCCTGGGAGTGGGAGTGGGAGCAAGCCCCTTGTGATGCCTCTGGTCGGGCCTCATGGCCTGTCCTCCATTCCAGGACTCGTACCTGCTGGACTATTTCCTCTTTCTGAACCGCTACTTTGAGGTGGGGGCCCCGGTCTACTTTGTCACCACCGGGGGCTACAACTTCTCCAGCACGGCGGGCATGAACAACATCTGCTCCAGCGCCGGCTGCGAAAGCTTCTCCTTAACCCAGAAGATCCAGTACGCCACCGAGTTCCCCGAGCAGTGAGTGCCCCCCCCCCCCCCGCGCCCTCCCGCCCTGTCTGTGTCCCCCACTCCCTCTGGCCCCATCCTGCTGCCCACCTGCTGCTGTGCCTGGGGAGGCCCAGGTGCGGGTGGGGCCATGTGAAGGACCCACCACCTGCACTCTGGCCCTGCCCCTGAGCTCCTCCCCGACCCCCAGGTCTTACCTGGCCATCCCCGCCTCCTCCTGGGTGGATGACTTCATTGACTGGCTGACACCATCCTCCTGCTGCCGCCTTTATGCCTTTGGCCCCAACAAGGACCAGTTCTGCCCCTCGACTGTCAGTGAGTGAGAGGCCTCTGGGGGCTCATGGCCCCCACAACTTGGGGAAACTGAGGGAGAGAAAGGAGAGAACTAGGGAGACTCCCTTAGCCCCTCACACCCTCCCAAAGGGTCAGTTGGGATGGGACCCAGGCTCAGAACACGTGTGGGTGCCCGAGCCCAAGGGGGCTGGACACTGGGCACTCACACGCTCTCCTGAGCTGTGCCCACTCTCTGGGGCACGCTGGTTCTCACACAGTGGGGGAGGGGAGTGAGCCCGGGTAGCCCCGGCCCCAGCCCCGGAGCAGCTGCATTTGCAGGTGGGGAGGCCCCGTAGGCCGTGGGCTGTTTCTCTGCCCCAAACTTCCCTTCCTCATCCATTCATAGGGGTCAGCAGTTTCCATGATGGAGAGAGTCCCCCCCCCCCCCCCCCAGTTATAGGGAAACAGTGTGCTCTTGGGCACACAGGTGGCTGCTGCCTGCAGGGGCAGGTGCCTGGGCCTGAGTGGCACAGAGCGGCCGGAGGGCGCTGCTCCTCACCCCCCCTCTCTGCAGACTCGCTGGCCTGCTTGAAGAACTGTGTGGGTTTCACCCTCGGCCCCGTGCGGCCATCGGTGGACCAGTTCCACAAGTACCTTCCCTGGTTCCTCGGCGACGCGCCCAACATCAAGTGTCCCAAAGGGTAGGCCTGCGTGGGGTGTCCGCAGGGGGCGTGGAGTGGGTGGTGCCGGGAGGGGGGTGGGGGAGGGGGTCTTGGGGGAGCCTTGACCCCAACCAAGCCTTTACTCGGCCCACCCCAGGGGCCTGGCAGCATACAGCACCTCCGTGAAGCTGGACCGCGACGGCCAGGTTTTGGGTAAGTGTGGCCGGGCCTGGTGGGAAGGTGTGAGTCAGCGGCTCCAGGGCCCTGAGCCTCCGGGAGGCTCCTCTCCTTCCATCCAATCCTCTCTCCTTCCTCCTTCATGGGGGCTTCTAGCTGCCCCCTTGGAGGCTGTCAGTCACTCAGATCCTCAACCTCACACTTCACCTTCTGCCTCCCCACCCCCAACCCTCAGAACAACATGGGTCCACGGGAGACCCCTGTGGCTGCATCCATCAGAGGCAGGGCCGGTCCACACCCAACCGCAGGCCCTTTGCCCAAAGTTTATTCCAAATCCCAAACACGGTAGCAGCAGGTCCTGAACCAGCCCCGGGTCCTGAGGCGCCTGGCGCCGGCTCTGACCGCTGTCTCTCCCCCCGGGCTCGTCCCAGCCTCGCGCTTCATGGCTTACCACAAGCCCCTGAAGAACTCGCAGGACTACACAGAGGCTCTGCGGGCGGCGCGGGCCCTGGCTGCCAACATCACTGCCAGCCTGCGGAAGGTGCCAGGCACCGACCCAGCCTTCGAGGTCTTCCCCTACACGTGAGGCCCAGGCAGGCGGGCGGTGGGCAGCAGGGAGGGACCTGGGGAAGGCCGCCCCGCACCCCTGCTGAGCTGTGCCCTCCTCCTGAGGTGGGTGTGGGGGGCGGGGCGCCGCGTGACAGCGCCTGCACCCCCAGGATCACCAACGTGTTCTACGAGCAGTACCTGACGGTGGTGCCCGAGGGGCTCTTCATGCTCAGCCTCTGCCTGGTGCCCACCTTTGCCGTCTGCTGCCTGCTGCTGGGCATGGACCTCCGCTCCGGCCTCATCAACCTCTTCTCCATCATCATGATCCTGGTGGACACCGTGGGCTTCATGGCCCTGTGGGGCATCAGCTACAACGCCGTGTCCCTCATCAACCTGGTCACGGTAACCGCAGACCCGGCCTCCTGGAGCGTGCCTTCTCTCAGGGTCCCCATTCTGCCCGCTGGCCTGGCGGAGACCCCACCTGGGCCCTGTGGAGGCTGATGCCCCCTCTCTGCCCGCAGGCCGTGGGCATCTCTGTGGAGTTCGTGTCCCACATCACCCGGTCCTTTGCGGTCAGCACCAAGCCCACCCGGCTGGAGAGGGCCAAGGAGGCCACCATCTCCATGGGCAGTGCGGTGAGTGGGTGGGCGGCCGCAGGGACTGTCGCCAGCTGCTGCGTGCCCAGCCTGACACCTGTGTGCGGCCCTAGGTGTTCGCTGGCGTGGCCATGACCAACCTGCCCGGCATCCTCATCCTGGGCCTGGCGAAGGCCCAGCTCATCCAGATCTTCTTCTTCCGCCTCAACCTCCTCATCACGCTGCTGGGCCTGCTGCACGGCCTGGTCTTCCTGCCGGTCATCCTGAGCTACCTGGGTGCGTGAGGCCCCTCCCGCAGGCCCGCCCCCCGCCGGGAGGAGCCCCAGGCAGTGTGGGAGCACCCATGCAGGGAAGGCGTGTGACAACTCCTCTGTCTGTCCCTCTGCAGGGCCTGACATCAACATGGCTCTGGTGTTGGAGCAGAGGCGGGCAGAGGAGGCGGCTGCGGCCAGGAAAGCCTCCTGCAAAAAGCACTCCTTCCCGGTGAGCTGGGCCAACGGCACCTACGTCAACCACGGCTTCCAGCATCCTGCCGAGAGTGGGGTCAGCTTCGGCGACCCTCCACCCCAGTGAGCAGAGCTCTGCGCAGGCTCCAGGGGCCGAGAGGGTTCCCATGGGGACCATGACCTGCTTCCCTCCCCCTCCCCCAGGTCCTGGAGGGGGTGCTCTGCCTATGGGGTGCTCACATTGGGACTCCCTCTGACCACCAGGTGCCCAGGCACCCTCCACCCTGGCAGCAGGTCCCTGGCTCCAAGTCACTCAAGCCTTGGTCAGCACACACTTGCCTCCTTCTTCCCGGGACCTGGGTCTTGGGGCCCAGACACAGACAGGCTGGCCTGGTTCCCGACTCAGACTCGGCCACAGCTGCCCCTTTCCACCCACCTCCCCTTCAGTGAAACAAAGTCCCACTTGGTGTCAGTGAGTCTTCAGCTCTGTCCAGTATCCCTGAGAACCAAGAGCACGACCCACCCTGCAGGCAGCCGGAGGGGGCGGGGGGGGCTCTGCACCTCACCCAGGAGGGTGTCCCGGAAAGGACGCTGGTCAGGGATTGGTCCCACTGGAAAGTGCCGTTCAGTGTGGCCTCCAGCTCCACCGGTTATTGAGGTGGTTGCTGCCAGTCAAGGCTGCCGTGTGTCTTCAAGGCTGTGAGCTCCCGGGGACAGGCCTGGAGCGCTGGGGCGGCTCAACCCAGCCCAACCTCAGCCTCCGTGGAGAAGCACCAGCCGAGGACGCCCCTGCTCAGTGCCGTGCGCAGGAGGAAGACTGTGTCTGCTGGGCACAAATGGAGTTTGTGTCTCATGTCCTAGTCTGGTTGCCTCTGGACTTAAGATAATTTTTGTAGCCCAGCCGGTGATGAACCAGAAGGTGGCGGTTTGATTTCTGGTCAGGGCACATGCCCGGGTTTCTGGCTCGATCCCCAGTAGGGGGTGTGAGGGAGGCAGCTGATCGATGATTCTTCCTCATCATTGTTGTCTCTATCTCTCACTCCCTCTCCTGTTCTCTCTAAAATCAATAAAAATATACTAAAAAGAAGATAATTTTTGTAAATGGCACAGCACATGTGTGGGAGGGTGACTTGGGGAGATTTCAGTTTGTTTTCCCTTCCCCCTTCCAGAAGGCAGCCATGTCACCGTGTGCCCTTTCAGGAGCGGGGAGCAACTTCTCCCCAACCAGGAGGCATGGAGGCCCTGGCCAGTGCAGGGACCCACAGCTGCTCGCTTTCTGTGAAAGCCTGTGAGGGAGGCAATACCCAGAGAAGCAAGTGCATTGGGGCAAGGAGGCGCCCACTGCTGGCGGGCAACTGGAGTGTTCCTTATTATTATGAGTTGTTATTTACTGCTCCTCACCCAAGGATATGTGTCCATTGATTTGAGAGAGAGAAACACCAATCAGTCGCCTCTCAGATGAGCCTCGATCAGGGATTCAACCTGAAACCTGGGTATGTTCCCTGACCGGGAATCAAACCGTGACCTCCTGGTTCCTAGGTCGACACTCAACCAGAGCCATGCTGGCAGGGCCAGACTTTGATGACCTGACAATTGGGAGGACTGGTCAGGTGTATTGTAGAATCCCTTTAAGTGGGGTTTACCTGGTGTTTCTCTCCTGATTAAACGGGGGTGATGGATTTGGGGGAGGAAGACCGCAAAGGTGGGGTGACCTTCTCAGCACACCATATCAGGGCAGTACTGTCGCCACGGCTGATCACTGTGGTGTGATGTTGGTCACCTGGCTGAGGTTGTGTCTGTCAGGCGTCTCCTCCCTACAGGTGCTCCTTCCCCCCTTTCCAGGCTGTGTTCCTTGGGGGGAGGTGCCTGTGCACTACCCACACTTAGGGATGGGAGGCACGTTCCAGCTCCTGGAGGGCAGGGCTCAGCATTCCGAGGACACTGGGTATACATGTATCAGCACGGACCCACATACAGTCAAGTGGCACTTTGGTCATAGAATAAAACTACCTTGTTCATTTGTTGGTCACATGGTTCCAGCTTTGGCCATTGGAAGCCCTTTCAGCTGACTCCTGGGTCCCTGTCATATGCCCATCATGGTGAGGTGTTTTTTTGTTTGTTTGTTTTTTGTTTTTAGCACGTCCTTACTTTCTGGCACTATTAGAGGGTCCCCAGACCTAGAATCAGCCATTTCTCCAAGGAACCCTGGACCCTTCTCTGCATGTGGGATTAGAAACCAGGATCTGGGTGCTCCTTGTGCACATTGCTCCTCGGGCGTCATTGCTCCTGGGCCCCCGCAGCTGGGAGAAAGGAAATGTGTGTGTCAATCCATGTGGCTCCGCGTGTAACACTGTCATAGATGCCACCCGCGCCACCCAACAGCAGGAAGCCTGGCTCCCCGTCCCCCCCACCCCATACCACGGACTTGATCCATTTGCACTGTAGGCAGGTAGAATTTTCAGAGCGGTAATCCGTGCCCCACGCCCTGGGAACAACTTAGAGAGAAGTGTCTGTGTACTGTTCCACCTTTTCCCTTCGGTCCTAGGACTCCACTCATTTCCAAGATTACTGGGTCAGCACCTCCCTCCGTGAGGCTGTGCTGTACATTTGTAATAGATCGTTTTATCACACTCTGCATTCCATTCTGGGATCCCCAATCTCTTAATGATTTTTTTAAAAATGTGCATCCATTGAGTTTCTCTGTGCACTGACACTCCCGTGCCCACAGTGTCCCTCACAGACATCGCACAGAGCAGGTCCAGGGCCGCGCTTCACCCACGCACCCGCCCTGGCACCGCCCCATGACCGTTCCCGCAGCTGCCTGTTCCAGCAGGCACACCGCGCGCAGCTCTTTTAGGGGCTTCGGTGGCAACAGGCACTGAAGGGCAAAGCACGTGGTTTTGGGGCTTGCGAGCTCGCCCCGTCTTACTGACAGCATTTCAACACAGGACAGACCGCCGTTTGTTTACCCTGCAGCCCTTGGCACACGTGTGTGTGTGCGCGCGCGCGACGGGCGTCCTTGGGCGCGCGCACACCTATTCCCTTGGATCCACCAGAGCAAACGGGGGCACGGGAGAGACCACGTGATAACGTCAGATCACGTGATAGCGCCGGGTCGGGTGACGCCGCCGCGCACGCTCTTCCGCCCGTTTCCAAGGCGGCCGCTAGGCGCCCCCAGCAGCGGAGCCCCGGGCCCTCGGGCGTCTAGGAGCCACTTGGGGGCCCAAGTCCCCTCCTCAGGGAGGCCGCCCGGGGAGGCCGGCGGCGCGGCTCGGCGGGGCGGGACCAGCGGCGAGGCCGCCCGAGTGCTGCCCCGCGGCGAGACCGAGCGAGCGCGGACCGAAGTTTCGCGGGCCCGGAGGCGGCGGAGCCGTTACCGTGACGCACCGGAAGTAGCCAAGGCCGGCGTCCGGGCCCGCCGAGAGCGAGTTCCCTCCCGTCGGCGACGCCATGGAGCCCGGGGCGGCCGAGCTGTACGACCAGGCCCTGCTGGGCATCCTGCAGCATGTGGGCAACGTCCAGGATTTCCTGCGCGTGCTCTTCGGCTTCCTCTACCGCAAGACGGACTTCTACCGCCTGCTGCGCCACCCGACGGACCGTATGGGCTTCCCGCCCGGGGCCGCGCAGGCGCTGGTGCTGCAGGTGACCGGGCGGCCGGGCGACCAGGCGGGGCGGGGGCGGGCTCGGGAGGCCCCCTCCCCGGAGGCCCCCTCCCCGGAGGCCCTTTCTCCGGCGCCCCCTTCCCGAGAGCCCCCGACCCGCGCGATTTCGCCGCCCGTCCCTCCCTGCGCGCCCGGCCGCCGTCTCCCTCCGGCGCTGGCCTGGGTTCGCCGCCTGGGCCCGCGCTGAGAGTAAGCAGAGCCGCCGGTCGCATATCAAGTTGCTCTTCGGGGCAGCGGGCCTGGCGCTCGGCAGCCCGGGTGACACCGGCGCACTTGGGTGTCAGTAGCTCGGCGCCCGCAGCGCTGGGCCCGCGGAGGCGCCGGGGCTGCCGGTCGGGGATGGAAGCGCGGCCCTACGCGCCCCGGGCCACGGCTGGAGGCGGCGGGGGGCCTGGTGACCCTGGGCTCCTATGGGTGTGGTCCCCTTGTTTGAAATGTGACTTCCTAGGTCAGAAGCGCGCGTCTGAGCCTGTGTCCGTGTCCCAGGCTAAATGCATTGTGTGTTCGAGGTCCTGCTGATACTCACTGGCCGAGTTGACTGTGCTCCTTGGAACGTAACAAGGAGCCGCACTCGCTGCCAGAGCCTTGGAGACGCCACTGCGATGTGGGCATTTAACGAGGGAATTCACGTCGGCCTCCTTGTGACGCTGTGACATTGAGAAGATAAAACACATCAGAGCAGAGAGCGGTGCAAGGCCGGTAGGTGACGGCCAGTTGGGAGGCAGGCGGTAGGCTTGGAAGTCAGGTTTCACAGGGAGGTGGGACTTCGCTGGGACCGAAAGCAGGTGCTCAGCCAGGCCCGGAGCCCGTTTGTAGGAACCGAAGAAACGCTGGTGGGACCTCCCAGGTCCTCTGGTGCCACACCTGTCCGCTCCTTGGCAGTTGTGCCTGCAGAAGAGACAAAGCGACTGCAGAGATGACAGGGTCTAGCAAGGGGTGGAGTGGGTCTCGGTATCAGCACTTCTGGCAGTTCCTCGCCCTCAGTGCCTGAGTGCCGTCTGAGTGAGGGTGTCTGGCAGTTTAAACTCCATGCACGTCCCTGGGACGTGGACACGGTTGAGTTTTGTGTGGCAGGTGAGGGTGCCAATTCAGCCAGGTCACGTGATTCCACAGACTCGTCCTTGTGATTCCAGCTCTTCCTTACCCATCCCACAGTCGGTGGGCACCCTGTCCTCTCGGGTGAAGGTGGGTGCGGAGAGGAGGAGGGAGCAGCTGCTGAGCGCTGGTATGTGCTGGTTCCTGTGGGAGGGGCCTCACCTTGCAGGCGCCACCCGACTTAATTCTCACGCAGCCTGAAAGGTTGGCCTTTGCCCTTGTTTTGCCGCTGAACTGACAGGTAACTCGTTTGTCTGGTGTCAGTGTATAAAGAACCTACTATGTTCCATGTACCCTTCCAGGCAAAGGGAGGGGACAGATGAATCAGATGACCTGAGGTTCCAGACTTGGGCGCCTGGATTAATGACAGTGCATTAACTGTACTGTCATTTGAGTTTAGGGGAAAGGGCCAGTGTTAGACAAGTCGGATATGAGATTGCAGACAGCAGCCCCTGCCTACAGGCTGATGGGATCGAAGGATTTGATCTTGCAGGAGACAGGAACTGGAGCAATTTGAGGAGAGAAGAGCTGAAGGTGGAGGGCAGCCCTTGGGGCATGAGCAGGAGGGAGGGGAGAAGCAGCGGCTGTAGAGTGGGAGGGGGTGGACGGGTGAGTCTTACCCACACCAAGGGCAGTTTCAGCAGATGGTCGGAGGGGCAATTGCCCAGGAGCCTGAACAGCCAGCACTCCCGGCAGTTGTCTGGGAAGACCCGGGAGAACCTGGGAGCTGCCCTTTAACCACAGGTCAGCATGGGCAGGCGCTCGGGGCACGTGGTGGAGATACTGGGTCAGCGCACAGGCAGGTGGTGGCTGCCAGCATAGGAACATAGTCACCGGCATTGTGATGGCTGCATGTGGTGACGGCTTCCCACCCAGAGCCATGGCGATCACGGTGAGGTCTACAGAGGTCGAGTCACTGCAGTGCCCCTGCCGTTCATCTTGTCTGTCAGCTGCACGTTATAACCAATAAAAGGTGCTGTACAGTGTCCCCTCTCAGTGGGGTCACCTCGTCTGCCCTTCCTGAGGGTGCTGCCCTGCAGGTGGGATGCTGGAGGTCTGTCTCTTCACAGGCCCAGAGGGTCGGGGCGGAGGACTGGAACTCGAGAGCTTCCCTCGTGCTTGGGCTGGTGTAGAGCTTCTCACACTTTCCCCCGAATTCTGAGGACCACAGTCTGGTGCGCAGCTTGAAGGACCCCCCTGGGAGAGGCAAGCTCCTTTCCACGTAGCTCAGTGGTTTTATTTTATTTTATTTTTTTATTATTTTTTTTGATGGTTAAATTCAACCCAAAGTTTTATTTAAAAAAAAAAAAAAGGAGAATGAAAGGAGCATTTGAAAACCCGAAAGGCCGTCACTCGAAACCCCTAGTTGCCCAAGGGGTGATGACGAAACGAACCAGCCGTGACCGCCAAACAATCACTGCCAACCACATTTCCTGGGATATTCGGTCCTGGTGGGTGGGAAACGCCTAACTTTTCAACAGAATCACTTCGCCGGTCTTATGCACCTGGAACCCGTCCATTTGACAGACCACGTGCCAGCGCCTCACTTCAACCCGGGGTGGTGGGTGGAGCCTAGAGTGTCACCCCACCTCAAAGACAAGGGAACCGAGACTGATGGCTTTCGCTGTCAAGTCCCCCCTGGGCTGCCCGGCGGGGCACAGGAACTTTGGGGCGCCTAGGTCCCCTGCCTCGAGTTCCGACACCAGGGCTGCCCTCACCCGACAAGGCAGGCTCCACCCAAGATGACAAATCACAGTCAAACCCATCCCGTCTCCCACCCGCGGGCTTGGGGGTGGGGGACTGGTGAGAAGACGGGTCCCAGCGGAAACTCCCGGCCGCGCCTTCCCGAGCCACGCGATCCTGAGCCACGCGATCAGATCGGGACACAGCCGCCTCTATCCCGGGAGAGAGGGCAGCATTGTTGCCGCAGTAACGCCCGGAGGAGGACCCTGGGGGAAGTGCTGTGGAGGGGCCTCTAGTGGGCCAGCGGCACGGGCGGGGGGGGGGGGGGGGGGGGGCGCGAAGGGAGCGGCCAGCCTCCGCCTTGCTCCTTCTCGGGAGTATTCCACCACTTCTCAATCAATGAACTTCCCACCGCGATCCCGCCCCCGGACCCACTCACAATTCCTTAATCAGCACCATCTTCCTGGAACCACCAGACAGCTGCTGCTCGCTCAGGGGTTTTAAACCATTGTCCACCACAAGCGTCTACCAGCGGTTCTCAACCTCTGGCCCTTTAATACAGCTCCTCATGGTGTGACCCCACCGTAAAATTATTGTCGTTGCTACTTCCTAACTGTCATGTTGCTACTGTTATGAATTGCCATGTGAATATCTGATCTGCAGGATGGTCTTAGGTGACCCCTGTGAAAGGGTCGTTTGACCGCCAAAGGGGTCGCGACCCACAGGTTGAGAACCGCTGGTCTAGACTCAAGCGCGGACCTTCCCCACACGCCACGTGCGTCTCCAAAAAAAATGTTTTCCTATGTGGCAGCTCTGACCAACTTTAAAATCATTTTTCGTGAGAGTTTTCAGCTGAAAATATTCAAGAACACCTGAATTGTAATATATTTATTTTTATAATATTCATTGCAAATTGATTTTTCAAATTAAATTTAAAATATCGTGGTGTGTGAGGATGGTTTCCGTTTTGGATGCGATGCGTGGCAGTTAACTGGTTAAGAAAAACTAGGTCAGCATGCCATTCCATTCATTTCAGATACTCTGTTTGCCCAGAGTCTGACCAGCCTGCACAGAAACTGCCAAGGAGGGTCAGGGAGCCGCTCCCACCGTCCCTCCCAGCTCCGGGAGTCCTGGCCAGTCACCCCCTGTCAGGGAGAAGGTGCCTGGAGGTCACAGGGGCCCTGCCAGCCCCACAGTCCTGTGGTTCTAGAATGAGTGGCGGCCGTGGGTGCAGCGAGGAGTGGAGGCGGGTGTTGTCTCCAGGTCCTAGGACTGTTTTCTGCTGCCACGTCTGTCAGTGCTCGGTGCTACCAGATGATTCTCCCTCCTCTGCCACTGGCAGGCCTGGGCGAGCCCCTCCCCCTCGGAGTCGCCTGCCTCCTCAGCGTTCTCCGGGGTCTTGAGAGAATGTATAGATTGGCACAGTTCAGCGCCTTCTTTAGTTCTGTCTGCATTCTAGTCCTTCGGAGGCTGACTCCTACCCACTTTTTAAAATTTGTATCTTTTATTTTATTGAGACATTTTGTAGAGAATTTTTAGGTTCATACCATAGTTGGACAGCAGTCCCACATAACCGCCTGCGCCCACAGGTCCAGCCTCCCCTTTGCCATCACCCGGAGTCGCAGCATCTATTGCGCCGATAAACCTGTGCACACGGCACCATTGCCGGAGCCCGCAGTGTGCATTGGGCTCACTCGGATTGCACGCTCCGGGTGGACAGATGCAATGACACGTACCCCCCACCACGGCCATCACACAGAGGCGTGTCCTGCCCTGAAAATCCCTGCGCCACCTGCTCCTCCCGCCTCCCAAGCCTCTGGCTGCCATGGGACTTTTTCCTGGCTCTGTGGTTTTGCCTTTTCCAGAGGTGATAAGAGTTGAAATCATACAGGATGTAGCCTTTCAGACCGTCGTCTTTCGCTTAATATGCACGTAAGGGTCCTCCATGTCTCTTCCTGGAGTGATCATGTCTTCATCGTGTTGAGTAGTCATAGTCCATGTGTGCCCGTCACTACTGAAGGTTGGTTTGAGTTCGACAAATATGAATGAAGTTGCCCTGTGCACATTTCTGTGTGGGCTTGTGTGTTGAGCTCCTCTGGGTAAATACTGGGGAGCATGGCTGCTGGGGGTGGTGAGGCTGCCCCCACTTTCCAGGAGCGGAATGGTGGCCCTGCCCCTGGACGTGTGGTTCCTGTGGAAGGTGTGCCTTTGGTTGAAGGTCTGTTTCAGGCCCCTCCTCCCAGGAAGTCTTCAGGTTTCTCTCGTAAGAAGGGGGTTCTAGCCCTCAGTCTGACACACAGTGTGCAGCCCAGCCTGTCCTGCCCGCTGTCAGTGTGGTCTGTGCTGGCTGCACTCCCTGCTGTGACTTGCAGAGGACACCAGCTGGCTCGCCCACGTGCTGAGTTCAGGGGGAGCTGTCAGTGGGGGTGCTCTTGCCCATGGCAGGCAGGGCACAGGGTTTGTTGAGTGAATTTCCAAGCTTTCCCAAGCCTGTGCAGGGAGCCTCCGCTGTTCTGGGGAGCGAAGGCCAGCTGGATCCCCCTTGGCTCTGCAGTGGGTTGTTGGTGCCCACACCTCGCGCAGCCCCTGGGCAGCGTGTTGTCGGTGTTGCTGGCAGCAGGTGTGAGTGACGGCAAGTGGGCCGAGAGCGGGGCTGGGCTCCTGCGGGCCTCGGCTTGTCAGGCTGCACGTCTGAGGACTGGGAACTCCCCATGGAGAGGCCCACAGCTGCTCGGTCGAGTCCAGGGCGATCTGTCCCCCAGCGGGAACGGCCGTGGGTGCTGCCTTTCTCATCCTGGACGTTGCCACGTCTCTGCCTCTCATTGCTGGGGCACGTTTGCTTCCAGGTGTTCCAGAACTTTGACCGCATGGCTCGCCAGGATGATGAAAAGAGGAGGAAGGAGCTGGAGGAGAAGATGAGGAGGAAGGAGGCGGAGGCTGCGGAGGCAGAAGCTGCAGCCTCGGGGGAGCAGGCGCCTGTCCCTGCCCCAGAGCTGGAGGTGGAGGTCAACACCACAGACGCGGCTGTGGCCTCGGGCGGGCCTGCGGAGCCTCAAGGCCAGCTGCGTGACATGCAGAAGGTGGCCCCCGGCTCCCGGGAGGCTGCAGAGCCACCAGCCTTGGACACGGGTGCTGCTCAGACCCCGAGGGAACCCCCACCTCTTCCCAGGTAAGCCCTTTCTCGCTGGACACGGGGGTGGGGAGTTTGTGGGAGTGGTTCTCACTGGGTGATAGCGCCCTGCCAGCACTTCTTTAGCTCCTCATGTTTGCAGGCCTAGTGACAGTACTTTGCTTACAGAAACGGGGGCAGTGGCTGCCGCCTTCCTCCCTCTGTCCCTGGTGAGGTCAGGCCGAGTGTGCGGGCCACTCAGCCATGAAGGCCGAGGGTCTGTGGGCTCCGGCAGTCCCGGTGGTGTCCCTCCCTGCTGGACACGGCGGGACATGCGCCACGGTCCTCAGCCTCACAGTACCTGAAGGGGCTGTCAGTATAGGGGGCCGTGCACCAGAGTCCCCTTGGCGTGTCAGTGAGTGGAGGCTGTGCCCTCGCTGCTCCTCAGGGTTGAGTCCTGGTCTGTGAGCTGGTCACGCGCTTCTGCCCCTGGTGGGATGCCTGCCTGTGCTCCTGGTGCCGTGTTTGGGAAATTCGTCCCTGCCCTGTCCTGACCAGGGGAGCCCTTCCTCTCTGCCTCAGCCGCAGCGTCCCTCCCGCTCTCCTGCTGCTGCACCCCCTCAGGCTGTTCTGAGCGCAGCTCTTGGTGAGGCGGCACGTGGAGGCGGTGATGTGACGCTGAAGGTGGACGGGCAGCACCAGAGGAGGCTCAGACAGCAGGTGTCGGCTGGCGAGGCTGGTGGCGCGGGCGGGGACTGGGTGTGCACATGGGACTCCAGCAGAGAAGGAGGGCCTGGAGGGGTCAGCACAGGACAGGGGTCTGCTGGCCCTTGGCCGAGGATGCTCGTCTCAGATGCAGCTCCTGTGCAGGCGGCTGGGCGGGGCCTCCCCCTGCGTTGGTCCCAAAGCTGCCTGTGGGGTCCTCATTGCTGGGGATATTCTTGTCGCATATTGAATGGAGCCTTTTAAAAAATAGACTTGTCCCAGCCCTGGCCGGTGGTCTCAGCTGGCTGGGCGGCGGCCTGTGCCCTGAGAGGTTCCCGGTGCGGTTCCCGGGCAGGACTCAGACCCGGGTGTGGGTTTGACCCCGGGTCAGTGTATGCACAGGAAGCAGCCAGTCGATGCTTCTTTCTCATCGCTGTTTCTCTTTCCCTCCCCCGCTCCCTTCCTCTCTCTAAAATCAATAAACGCACATTAGAAAAAAGAGTGTCGTTCTGGCTTCCTCGTGCTCGCGGGGTCTCTGAGCGGGGAGAGTGCCGATGGTCCCTGTCTGGACCCGTGTCCCCGGCTCTGGTGGTTCCCTTCCTCGTTCGCCGCAGTCTGAGCTCCGTGTGCTGGGGGTTCCTTGTGTTTATGCTGCAGGGGATTTCTGAGCCCTGAACCCCAGGCTTTCTCTGTCGTCTCTTCTCCGAGGTCCTGTCCTCAGACGTTCTTCCTCTGCTGGGGGCCCGACCTCAGCTCACCCACACACTGTCGACAGCAGGAGGCGTGCTTTCTGCAAATTCCCTTGGATCCTTTTTTAGGGTTTGACTTCTACTCACATGGCTTTGCTCTACATTGTTTAATGTGTTTGTAGCGGCTGTTGAAAGTCTCCATCATCTCTGTCATTTCTTGGCTGTTTCTGTTGACTGAATGGTCTCCTGATTTGGGCCGCGTTTTCCTGTTCTTCCCACACCTGTAACTGTATGTTGGATGCGGGAGGTTGTGAATGCCTTGTTGCGTCTGGACTTCCTTCGCGGGCTGTGGAGTGCTGTTCCTGCAGGCAGCGACGGCACCTCTAGGGGCTCGCTGGGCAGCCTTGCTGGGCATCTGGAGCCCCCTGTCCTGGGCTGGTGCTCCCTCTTCTGAGACGTGGCCTCGGGGGCTCTCCCGAGCCTTCCGGTGTGCAGCGGCTCCTGCCCTCGGGCTGCTGGAACGGCCATGTCCTGCCCTTGGTGGTCCTGGGGACCTTGCTGACTCCCTGGGGCTCCCCTTTCCCGGAGGCTTGTCCCTGAAGAGAGGGGCGTGAAGACGGAATGTCCAGTTACTTCTGTCCCGTTTCTTTTATTCCAGCGTCACTTGTGTCAGCCAGAGGGACAGCTGGATGCGAAGCACATCCGCAGGGTGTCTTAGCGCAGACGTGGTGTGGGGGTGGCAGTTTATGTCCCTCAGCGAGCACCATCGGGGTCGCAGGGTGGTGCTGTGGCCTCAGGGAGGGAGGCTCTCCCGGGCGGTCAGCCCCGGAAAGGTGGGGCGGGTCCCCTGGGACGGCAGCTCAGCCTGTTTCGGGGCCTCATAGTGGCCTGTAGGGGTTTGGACTGGCCTCGCTGCCCCACAGGCTCCAAAGCCCATTTCTTACAGTAAATCTCTTAATATATTTCTTCTGGTTCTGTTTCTTTGGTTCAACCCTGACTTATAGATATTCTCATGATAGAATATCACGTGAGAAAAGCAGGCTTCAAACTAACAACAAATTTGGAAAACATTTAAAATTATACAGAGGGAAGGCATGGAAGGAAACATTATTAATAATGGTGGAATTGAGTGTTTTTCATTGTCATCTTTGTCCCTTATGTTTTCTAATTTTTTTGCAACGAGCATACATTTTATTTTACTATTTTTTGTATTATTTTTATAACTTCTAAAAACTTTTTTAAAAGGGGGTTTGATTTTGATTCTGAGTAGCCACGAGAATGGCTGCCTAGTTGTGGTGGTTTTGTAGAGACCGCTCTTCTGTTCTTGGGCCAGCGCTGTGTCCTGGGCAGCCTGAGCTTGGTGAGGCCCCAGCTTGTTGGGGGGAAACCTCAGGGGGGCACACACCAGCGCCCTGGGCAGGGCCTCAGCCCTCAGGAGCTCACGGGTTTTCCGTGAACATCGCAGGAAGTGGCGGCCATGTCTCCGAGTCCCACCTGGGTCGGAAAGTGGGCGTGGAAGCAGCCTGTCCTGCTCTCCCCAGGTGGTGCCAGGTCCCCCGTCAGTGCCCAGGGTCTGCACCCTGTAAACTTGGGTTGGGAATTAAGGCAGTTACTCTTCTGATGACCTCACACAAGCTCTGTCCGGCACCCTGTCCAAAAGCCAGTTCCCTGGAACCAGGTCTGAGACGCTGGCTTCCACTGGCTCCTGTCGGCCGCCCACTGCTGGAGGCTCTGCCAGTGCTAGTCATGGGCAGCGGCCACTCGTCTCGTCCTACTGTCCCGTCACAGGCTTGTTTAATTTAAACAAATTCAGCAGAGGCCCTGTGGGGAAATTCAGTAAGATAATAAAAGCGTGTGCATCTGTATTTTACATACGTTTTTAGGATAAGCCTTATTCACTGTGTACACTTTACACAAGAGTTCACTGTTGGAATGTTCGTGACCGACAAGTGTGGTCCCATAAGGGCCATCGACAGACAGGACACTCGCCCACCCAGCTCTGGCTTCTCTGCCCGTCCCTCCAGGCCCTGCTGACGCAGGTCTCTCTTGTACATGTAAACCACGCATATGGCACTTTGGGTGGCTTAGGAGATATTGGAGGGAAATTTTAATTTGAGCTACGTCCTACCCCTGCCCAGGGCTTACAGGGCCCAGTTTTGTTCCTTAGAGGGGAGTCTGGGCACATGTGTCCTGGACACACCAGAGGGCACCTGAGAAAGTGCGGGGCTCTGCCCGGCTCCCAGCTCCACGTTGTCGCGGTGAGGACATTGTGACGGGTGATGCCCAGGGTCCTGGTGGGACTGCCCAGGCCCGTGCCTGTGCTCAGAGGATGGTGGGTGCTGTGCCGAGGGCAGAAGGAGCAGGGCAGTCAGGCGCCTCTCAGAGCTGCCAGTGCAGGCTGCCCCGTCTGGTCCGCGGCTGTGTCGTCCTGCAGTTCACCGCTCGGCCGGCAGGTGTCGCTGCAGCTGGTGCTGGGATGCGATGGAAATGGACACAGGCTGGGCCACCTCTGGCTTTGCCTTTGTAGACCAGAAACAGAATTCTCTAACAAAGGAGATGAAAGAAAGTAAATGACCGCCTGGGAGCTGGGCTGCCTGAGGGTGCTCTACGCTATGATGTGCATGGTGTGCCCACTCCCAGGCTGTCCCTCCGCCCGCCGGGAGCAGGTCACAGCGCGCGATGGCCGCCGGCTGAAGCCTGGCCGACAGGCCGGTCAGGAGGCTGCTCGTGTCTTCATGTCCATGTGGCGGGTCCCAGGGGCCCCTGGGGGTGCACAGTGTGCAAGAGGAGCTCAGGTTTCCTCACGCCTCCTCCCGGCACGGGCACTGCTCAGGGCCCTCAGCAGAGCCCTCCAGCTCCTCCTCCCGCTGCCCTGCCCCCTCCGCACGCGTCTCCTCGCCGTCTGTTCTCAGCTGGAGGTAATTCTGGCCGTGTGCGAAGTGCCTGTTATGATCGGTTTAGGAGCTTCACATTTTTAACATGATCATTGCTTTCAGAGAGGAAGGGAGCGGGGGAGAGAAACATCAATGATGAGAGAGAATCACTGATCGGCTGCCTCCTGCTTGTCCCCTACTGAGTATCCTGCTTGTCCCCTACTGTAGCCTGGGTATGTGCCCTGACCAGGAATCAAACCGTGAACTCCTGGTTCATAGGTTGATGCTCAACCACTGAGCCATACCTGCCAGGCTGCATTTTTGTTTTTATTTGGAATTCACTATGAGCATGTAGCTGTTGGCTTCCCCCTAGCAGAGGTTAGCCTGGGTGTCTGACAGCGCTGATGTGCATGGAGCCGCTTGGAGACTGAAGCTGTGAGGCAAGGTGAGCTGCTGCCCGAGCTCGAGGGCGGCTCGGAGCCGTGGGAGGGGACAGTGTGAGGATCAGCGGCAGTTCTCCCTGAGACGTGAGTGTGTCAGGGTGTGAGAACCCGAACTGCCTGCTTCTTGCAGACGGAGAAGTTGACATGTACAAGGGTGACGTCCTCGTGTGGCACCACCATGTGAGGGTGGGGCCAGCGTTGTGGGCGCGGGGCAGGGGCGCGGGCGGGACAGTGGGTGCGCCCTGTGTTAGGAGAGCAGCTCCCAGCGCAGAGAGCCTGCTCAGCACTAGACAGCCAGCTCCCCGTGTGCTTTCCTGTCACGCCAAGAAGGCCTCAGGCCAGCTGGCCTGCTCCCGTGGGAAACAGCGTGCACCCACCGAGGATGTTTTCATAGAATCCGATCACAGACAGCAGAGCCGGAAGAACGCACCGGCCCCGCGCACCCACGCCAGCCCGTGCCGCCCTGCCCTCCGCCACCCGCCAGTGTTTCAGTGCCTGGTTTTCTGGTAATGTCCCAATTTACATAACAGTGATGACAGTGTGTGTAAATCTGCAAATAAGGCCCCGGCTACACATTGCTTGTAGTTGACCGTCTATTCTTTTATTCCCTCAAAATTCATTTGTTTAAAAAAGCAAGTGTTGGCCCGTAGAGTTTCTACAGTCTGCGTTTTGCTGGCCTGTGATGTGGTGAGCTCGCTGGGGACTTAGGGTAAATGTTTTTGAAAGTTACAAGTGTGCCCTGGCCAGTATGCTCAGTGGTTAGAGCGTCAGCCCATGCACCGAGGGCCCGTGGGTTCGATTCCCGGCCGGCCACTTTCCTGGGTTGCAGGTCTGATCCCCGGCCCCAGTCGTGATGCACATGGGAGGCAACCAGTTGATGTCTCTGCCACATCCATGTTTCTCTCCCTCTCTCCCCCTCTTGCCCTCTCTTCCTCCCTCTCTCCCACGCTCTTTAAAAATCAATAGAAGCCGAAACCGGTTTGGCTCAGTGGATAGAGCGTCGGCCTGCGGACTAAAAGGTCCCAGGTTCGATTCCGGTCAAGGGCATGTACCTGGGTTGCGGGCACATCCCCAGTGGGAGATGTGCAGGAGGCAGCTGATCGATGTTTCTCTCTCATCGATGTTTCTAACTCTCTGTCTCTCTCCCTTCCTCTCTGTAAAAAATCAATAAAATATATTAAAAAAAAATCAATAGAAAAACAGCCTCGGGTGAAGATTAACAATAAAAAAGAAGTTACAAGAGTGTGTGGTGAGAGTGAGTTCTCCCTAAAGGCAACCGTGGGTCATGTTTTCTTTTGTAAACTTGTGTTTTATAACATTTTTCACGTTGGCCCATCTTTTCCTGTCACGTGATTGCTGTGTGTGGACTCTGTCTCGTCCATGGGGGACAAGCAGTAGCAGGGACCTGTCTCCTGCTGCCAGCCTGTGGTGGGCGTGGCTGGCCTTTCCCCCGCGGCACTGGCCCTGCCGCTGCCCCTGTCACAGTGGGAACCCGCCCGATAAGCCCAGTATTCACGGGGCTGTCCCAGCGGACTCCTGGCCTGCCCTGGAGGGAGGTCTTGGGAGGGCCTGGGCGCGCCCACGCAAGGGGACGCTGACGGAAGCAGGACCTTTTGCCCTCAGAGCATCCCCCGTGGCCGAACGTCACCCCGAGTCCCCTGGGGAGTGTGATTATGTTGTCCTGGCCTGGCCGTCACCGCGGTGCTCCGTGAGGGTGCTGCTGTGCTGCTGGAACAGGCGCATGGACATCTGCTGGACAGGTCCCCGGACGGTCTCCTGCGTCACAGGGCCAGGCTGGGCCATCTGGGGGGTGGCAGCCAGGCCGGGTGCCCTGGCCCCTTTCTCGGCCGCTGTTAGCTTTCACCTCGCTGGCTTTGTGGGAAACGCCACGCCCTCTGTGTGTGCCGGGCTGTGACTGGCAGTGCAGGTGACTGTACTTTCTCTTTTCCTCTCTCTGTTCCTGTCTGTCTGCGTGTTGGCCATTCTTGACTGAAATGCATTTACAGCTGGAGGACTAGACCTGCATCTCCCCCCCCACCAGGCTTTTTTTGGAAATTAAATTTTCTATGAGAAAATCTGTTGAAATTTTCTTTGGGACTACGTTAAATTCATGGTTCGAATCAGAGAATTGACATGTCTGCATTGAGCCTTTCTTTTGAAGGGCAGATGTGCCTTCTGTATTCAGTCTGTGTTGCCCTGTAGGATTGTGGTTTTATTCAGTCTGTGTGTTGTGGGGTTTCCAGCCGTGTCTCAGGCGGTTTCCTTAGATTCTCTGAGAATGCAGGCTGTTTGGTACTTATTGTAGTGTTTTAGTGACAACAGCATTTAGAAGTAAACTGTGCATGTTTAACATTTAGAACCTTAACCACAGCCGCATTTCTTGGTCCTGCGGCCGCAGCTCAGTTTGGGCTGCAGGCGTCAGTGGCTGGGAGCCATGTGGTGAGCCCCAAGGCAGTGGTGCCAGAGTTCCCAGGTCTGTTTATTGTGCGTCTTTAAGACACTTTCCACTTTTAGATAATCCAGGTGCCCCAAAACGTTGAAGAAATCATACAGAGACTTCCCATGCACCCACTCCCGGCGTTCCTGCGTCAGGTCCTGCTGCAGCCACCTGGGCCAGGTGTGGCCTCGTCCCTGCACGGGACCACCTCTTCCCTGCACGGGACCACCTCCTCCCTGCACAGGGCCACCTCCTCCCTGCACGGGGCCACCTCCTCCCTGCACGGGGCCACTCCTCCCTGCACGGGGCCGCCTCGTTCCTGCACGGAGGCCACCTCCTCCCTGCACGGGGCCAATCCTCCCTGCACGGGGCCACCTCCTCCCTGCACGGGGCCACGTCCTCCCTGCACGGGACCACCACCTCCCTGCACGGGGCCACCTCCTCCCTGCACGGGGCCACCTCCTCCCTGCACGGGGCCACCTCCTCCCTGCACGGGACCGCCACCTGATGCCAGTGTGAGGAGCAGGCAGGTGGGCTCGAGCCACCCCGCTATGGCCTGTGTCCCCGTGTCATCCCCAAACCACCGTGGGCCGGCTGGTGAGACAGAGCTGCTTACCTCTCGAGGACAGTGTCGCCCAAGGTGACAGCCTCCCAAGGGGTGTGAGGCCGGAACTTGTGAGTTGGAAGTTGGATGTAAAGTGGGGGTTTCAGAGTGACAGTGGGGTCCTGACAGGACTGGGTGGGGCTGTCAGGTTTGGTAGAAACTCAGGGCTGTGACTTTGAGGTTCACCCGGAGGCCAGGTGAAAACTGGGGTGAGTCACCTCTGTGGGCACATGGGACGCCCCTCAGGGCAGTAGCTGGCTGCGGGGGTGGGGTGGGGGGTGGACAGGGACGAGAGCTGGGCCGTGGCTGCGGCGTCTGGCCTGTGCCTGCTGAGTGGGTGGTACGTGTCCGCATCTCGACGTGACCACCATTAGGCTGTCTCCAGGCTCTGCTTCCGCCTCGGCCGGGGTCCCCCTCCCGCTCCCCAGGAGGTTGGAGTGTGGTTTTCTCTGTCTCGGTACTGCTCCCTTCGGAAGTCGTCTGGTGATTGGAATAGTTGCCTCATTTTGGATGACTAGGAGTAGAGAATGGAGCTAAAAGAGTAAGAATTCCGCATTTTTCAATGGTTATATTTATGGAGCAGATGACCTACTTTTTGTTTTAAATGTATATCTCACTTTTACATAATTGTAAAAAATTGGAGTGCCTCTTTCCCTTGTTCAAATAATTAACATGACGTAAGGAAAAGTCTCACATAACCAGGTCTCATTTTTAGTCGGTTGGGGAGTTCATAGTAAACACCGGTGTGTTCACGTTGGCGGAGCGTCTGATTGGTGGTCAGAGCAGCGAGCACGCGGGCATGTTACGCGAGATCCCAGGTACCCTGCCTCCTTTATTTCAGGTATAGAATCACTTAGTTTTTTCTTGTTTTTTTGTTTTTGTTAATCCTCACGAGAGGGTGTTTTTTCCATTGGTTTTTAGAGAGAGTGGAAGGGAAGGGGAGAGAGAAAGAAACTTCAATGTGAGAGACACATCGATTGGTTGCCTCCCACACGTGCCCTTGACCGGAATTGAACCAGTGACCCTTCAGTCCGCGGGCACTCTAACCAGTGAGCAACGGACCAGGGCAGGACTGGGGACATTTGATTGTAGTGATAAGTCTAATCTTTTTTCCCTATTTTAAATTTTTTTTTTTTTTATTTCAGAGAGGAAGCAAGAGGAAGAGAGAGAGAGGCATCAATGATGAGGGAGAATCATTGATGGGCTGCCTCCCGCACGCCCCACACTGGGGATCGAGCACAAAACCTGGGCACGTGCCCTTGGCAGGAATAAACCCTGACCTCTGGTTCACAGGTTGACGCTCAGCCCTGAGCCACACCGCTGGCCGGCAGTGAGCCATGGTTTTGTTTTATGATCTCAGGGTGTGAACATGCCTGTGCTCCGGGCCCTGTGGACACACTGCTCTGGGTGCTCGCATTGTCCACCTGGGCCAGCAGCAGCCTGTAAGGGACACTCTTCTTCTGAATGAGGTTCTTGCTCTGGGGTCCGGATGGCTCCGGCTGCTGGGCCTGGTCCTGTGGGTGAGGACCTCACTGGGGAGGGCTGGAGGCGATGCTGAACCGTGGTGCCGGGTGTAGGTAAAACGACTGGTGTTGGATTTTAAAAAGAAACTCACAGGTAACAGCATTACCCAGGAGGCTTGAGCCACGCGTGTTGTGGCGTGAGGGGCTGTGGCTGTGCTGGCATCTGACTTGTGGTTCTTCCTCAGGAGACAGGAGCAGTTCCAGAGAAACCCCGACAGCTACAACGGAGCCGTGCGGGAGAACTACACCTGGTCCCAGGACTACACTGACCTGGAGCTCAAGGTGCCGGTGCCCAAGCACGTGGTGAAGGGCAGGCAGGTAAGCGGCTCTCCCAGCCGCTCCGCTCGGGCACAGGTGTCCCTAGCACCCCACCCAGCCCTCAGCCACGCCAGCCAGGTGTGGGACCCCTCGCCCCAGTCTCCCTGTGCTGGGTGGATGCACCTGAGTTGCAGTCTCTCGTGTCATGATGGCATTTAGGCTCCACAGAAGACAAGGTGGGCAAGGCCGCTTCCCAGTGGGGAGAGCGTGGCCGGGGCTGAGCAGCCGCGCTCTGGAGGGACAGGTGGCCCCAGGGCTGTGCGGGGACAGGCGGGCGGCGTTTTGCTCAGGCCCCGTCCCAGCCGCCCTGGCCGTTGGGCGCGGGAGGGCACAGCGCTGCTCAGGCTGGAGGTTTGGCCGAGCCTGTGTGGGTGGCACCGGGACTTATGCAGTGGAGGCGTTTTTGTGACACCACGGACTTAATTTACACTCGCCTCCCTTCATCTCTACAGTTTGCATTTCCTTCCCCCCGTGGTGTTTTTCCACGGCATTCTCATTATGCTGTGACCTCCTTTTAACAGTTCTCGTCTCCGTTTCTTGGTGACCTGAGTGTTGGTCGCTGAGAGCCCGGCGAGCTGAGTGCAGCTCTGGTTTGCTGACCTCAGGGTTTCTTGGGGCTGTCACTTCCTTCGGGGCCGCGCAGCCGTTCCCAGGGGCCTCCGCAGCGACCCGTCAGCAGTGTGTATTTTTGGTCTTTGTCCCTGGCACCTACCAGGTGCCATCCTGATGGCGGTGTGACAACAGCAGCGCGTGGGGGGTGGGGGGGCAGCACAGGGTGCAGGGGGAAGTGGGGCCCCGAGTGTGGGGTCCTGGTCCCCTTCTCCAGCAGCTGCAGGACCCACAGGCGAGAAGCTTGCCTCCTCTGCCCACTGGTCTCTGAGGCAGGGGCCTGCCCGAGGGCGGAGGCGTGCAGGGCGGGTGGCCTGCTCACAGGCAGCCCTTCCGTTGTTTGTCCTGGTGAGTCTGAAGGAAACTTCTCCCGACGAAGCTCGGGTCTCAAGCCTTAGAGACGTGGCAGGTCTTTGCTTTGTCCACTCTGCTTGCCTTCCTCAGGGTAGCCATGGCGACCGCGATGTCAGCCGGCTGGTTACCAAGCTGGCATTTTGCAAATCCTAGGGTATGATGCTGGAAAGCTGACCTCCAGAGCATTTTCATGTAAAGTCTCATTTGCAGGTGAGAAAACTCGCAGAGGTGCAGCCTAGGCCACGCCCAGCCCACCCTTTCAGCCTGGGCCACACTGACCTGCAGTGGGTCCCTCTCCGAGCGCTCTCCTTCCTCTCGAGGGGGTCCTGCTGACCGGTGAGGCCCTGCGGCCCTGGCTCACGCTGTGCCGCCGCCCTACATGCCCTGGGAACTTCCGGAATCGCACCGGCCTCTGGGCATGCCCTGCCTGTGAGGCTCAGCCCCTGCTCGAAGTGCTGCTGGAGTTTGTGCCAAAAGCTCTTGGAAAGCTCGTGGTGTCGCGTGGGGTTCCCCTCTTAGGCTGCATCAGAAGCATGGGAAGGCCCTGCTTCCTGATGGAGCGGCTGCAGGCTGCACTCCTGCGTAGAACGTTTTTAAATACATAAGACGGCTGTTTGGGGTCTAGCACGTGTACAACCACAGGGCCGTCTGTCCTGTCTGGACCGGCTGGCCCGCTCGCCATCACGGCAGGTTCCCTGGGGCCTCTGGCGGGTTTTCATGCGTCGCCATCAGCATGAACCTCTACAGTCCCTCCTACCTTCAGCACAGACCTGTTCCCAGTCCAGGCCTGTGGGGAGCCTTCTGAGTCTGGTCGGAAGCAGCCTGGCGAGTGGGGTCCCCGGGTGTGTAATGAGCTTTGGAGGAGCTCCATCTACCCTCCCATCCCCGTCGTCGTCCCCCCCCCCCCCACACACACACACTCTCTTGGGGCTGCCAGGCCCACCCGGACGGGCTACAGGGCGGAGGGTGAGGCGGGTGAGATGTGGCAGCGCCTGCGCTTCTGGCCGAGGCTTCCTGCACGGGTTCTCCCTGGGCTCTGCCTGCCTTCGGCCAGTCCCCAAAGCCGAGGAGCCGCGGGGAGCCCACATGCAGAGGCTCACGCTGCTTCCTGTCCTCACACTGCCACGTGCAATGCCCTGCGTCTAGGTTTTTGGTTTCCTGCAGTTTCTCGCTGCCTTTTATTTCTCTTGTCAAAAATAATGAGCTTTCCTGGCAACTTGAGAAGTTCTAGACCCCCAGGTGCTTGCTGTCTGGCAGGTGCTTTCCTCCTGAGCTCCCCAGGGGAGCTCTCACCTCCAGCTGCCTGTGCCTCTCGGTTCAGGTTGCTGTTCAGCCCTCCTGGTCTCTGGGTTTGCAGTGTCCTGAGATGTAACTGACAGGAACATGGTCAGGACAGGGTGTGTGACTGGACCTGCTTTGTATTGAGAAACTAGAGGCCCGGTGCATGAAATTTGTGCACAGGTAGGGTCCCTAGGCCTGGCCGGCAATCAGGGCTTATGGGGGCCTTCCTTCCCCGGCTGCTGGCTGCGGCCTTCCTTCATTCCGCGCTGCCCCTTGGTGGTCAGCACACGTCATAGCAAGCGATCGAACTCCTGGTCAAACTCCAGAGGGGACACTTTGCATATTAGCCTTTTATATAGAGAGACTAGAGGCCCGGTGCACAAAAATTTGTGCACTGGGGTGGGGGTGGGGTCCCTCAGCCCGGGCTGTGCCCTCTCGCAGTCTGGGACCCCTTGGGAGATAACGACCTGCTGGCTTAGGCCTGCTCCCGGGTGGCAGAGGGCAGGCCCAATCCCTAGATGCAGCCCCTGGTTGGGCTCAGAGCAGGGCCAATTGGGGAGTTGGGGCGCCGCCCCCTGTCATGCACAGAGCAGGGCGGATTGGGAGGTTGCGATGCCACCCTCAGTCATGCTCAGGGTAGGGCCGATTGGGGGGTTGGGGCACCCCCCCCTATCACACTCAAGGCAGAGTCGATGGGGAGGTTGTGGCGCCGCCCCCTGTCATGCACAGAGCAGGGCGGATTGGGAGGTTGCGATGCCACCCTCAGTCATGCTCAGGGTAGGGCCAATCAGGGGGTTGGGGCGCTGCCCCCTGTCACGCACAGAGCAGGGCCCATCAGGGGGTTGAGGAGCTCCCCCCTGTCACGCACAGAGCAGGGCCCATCAGGGGGTTGAGGAGCTCCCCCCTGTCACTCACAGAGTAGGGCCGATAGGGGAGTTGGCACACCGCCCCCTGTCACACACAGAGCAGGGCGGATCAGGGGGTTGGGGCACCGCCCTCTATCACCCACAGAGCAGGGCCAATCAGGGGGTTGGGGCGCCGCCATTGTCACACTCAGGGCAGGGCCGATGAGGAGGTTATGGCTCTATCCCATCACACACAGAGCAGGGCCCGTGGGGGGGGGGGGTTGGGGCACCGCCCTCTATCACCCACAGAGCAGGGCGGATCAGGGGGTTGGGGCGCCTTCCCCTGTCATGAACAGAGCAGGGCGGATAGGGAGGTTGTGGCCCCGCCCCCTGTCACACACAGAGCCGCAGGGCGATCAGGGGGTTTGGGCGCTGCCCCCTGTCACACGCTGATCCCGGTGCCGGGAGGCCTCTCAGCTCCGCTGATCCCAGTGCTGGGAGGCATATTACCCTTTTACTATATAGAATAGAGGCCTGGTGCATGGGTGGGGGCCGGCTGGTTTGCCCTGAAGGGTGTCCTGGATCAGGGTGAGGGCCCCCACTCGGGTGCCTGGCCAGCCTGGATGAGGGGATGATGGCTGTTTGCAGCTGGTCACACACCCTTCAGGGTGGGGGTCCCCACTGGGGTGCCTGGCCAGTCTGGGTGAGGGGCTGAGGGCTGTTTTCAGGCTGGGACTGAAGCTCTCAACTGCTCCTTTTCTTCTTTTTTTTTTTAAATTCTGGGCCAGCTTTAGCTCTGAGGCTCCAGCTCTTAGGCCTCCACTCCTGAAAGCAGGTATCTGGTTTGTTTCGGTTCTCGAAACTCTGTATCAACTCCAGCTCTGAGATCCCAGCCGGCTGAAAGCTGGTTTCTGGGCGTCTATATTTGTTACAATGTTTGAAACTGCCAGCTCAGAGGCCTGCAGCGGCCGGCGGGGAACGTTGGTTTCCTCTGTCACTGAAGCAAGCAAGCCTCATGTTAGTTTCAAGCTGCCTGGCTGCCGGCCGCCATCTTGGCTGAGTTAATTTGCATATTGCCCTGATTAGCCAATGGGAAGGGTAGCGGTCGTACGCCAATTACCATGTTTCTCTTTTATTAGTGTAGATGATGGCACAGTTAGTGACCATTGTCTTCCTGTGAGGAGACCTTTGAGATCTCTCTCAGCCCCACACAGAGCTGCCAGCCTTTGGGCGCCACGGCCAGGGCTGCCCACCTCGTGCCTGCTGTTGGTGCCTTGTGCTCGCCACTCGGGCCCTCCTTGGTCTGTTTTCATCCTCGTAACTTCCTCACAGTGATGTGGGGTCAGGTGCCTGGGTGCTGGGTGTGGCATGTAGTTTGGGTGCAGTCTAGCTCTGCCCTGGAAGGGGAGGGTTGCTCCTGTTGTCTCACCCCAGGCCACCGTGTCGGGAGATTTCAGCCTGTAGGTCTCCGTGGCCCTCCCGCCAGCAGCTGCTGTGGGCCCCCAGCCGCGAGGCACGCTTTCCTTCAGCTCTGGAAATTGTCTAGTGGCCGCCACAGTGTCTGCAATGCAGGCTCGGCCTGGCCTGGCCTCTGCCTTCATCCGTCTGACTTTATCTTCCGTGTCTCTGCTGAGGCCTGTGTTAGCCACTGCATTTTAGTTCTGAGTGCTCTTTTTGCCCGACTATTTTTGTATTTCATTCTGGTTCTGTAGAGATAACATCTCCGCAGATCTCGCTGAAGGCACACATAGGAAGCGTGTTCCAAAGCCTGTTTCCTGACAAGCTCTGCAGGGTTTGCGTCGTTTCTCTCCGACTGTCTCCATGTTGCTGGTTTCCTCCCAGGACGCAGCCGCCCTCCCTGTGGGGGTTTTGGTTGAACAGTGTGTTTATTCCCCCTGAGGGTGCAGGCCGGTGGCCACTGGCGCTGGGTCGGGCCGAGTTGGGACGGACGCCCTCATGCCGCGCAGGCCCTCCGCCGGCTGCTGGGCTTCTCCGGGCGCTGCCCTCGTGGCTGTGGCCCACGGTGGTGCCTGTCCCTCCGTCCTCCGTGCCTGCTGACCACAGGGGAAGCCCAGGGGCTGGGGGCTCATCGCCCTCTGCCCATGTCCTGGCCTCCACTTCCTCCCCGGCCTCATCTGCGGCTTTTCTCTTTGTGCTCCGTTCTGTCGTCTCCGGGGGTCACAGGTCAGGAGTGGTGTGACCCCAGGGTGACGTCCTCACCGGGACTCCTGGGTGTCTGCTGTCTGCGCCTGGTGCCCGTGTCCCAGGAGCAGGACGAGAAGCTTGCCCAGGCTTGGAATTACGGCGCCCTCTGCAGCCTGCGGAGGGCGTTCTGTGTAGCTCGCTCCTGCGCAACCAGGACCTAGGAGCCCCTTCGGGTGTTGGCTGCAGTGCTGTCCAGTTGGGGAGGCCTGTCAGCCATGGTGGTCAGATCCCGGGGGAGGGGGTGCTGAGCAGTCTGGCTGGGCTGAGGCTGTGCAGGGCCCACTGAGTGGAGTTCTTTCTCCTGGAGTTTGGGCGCCCCCAGCCTGCATGTGGACGGCCCCTTTGCCCCCAGGGTCTCCCCGCCTCCCCTCTTGCTCACAGCCCCGTGGGGTAGTCAGCGCTGCTGACGTCGACAGTCCTGTGCCTGAGCGTCTTGTGCCTTTCACAGGCGTCTCGTGGGCAGTGACCAGGGGAGGGCTGTCCAGGGGCCATTCGGTCAGCTCCCATGTTGTGCAAATGTTACGAAAAGGTGACCACATCGTAAAGCACCAGGTTTTAGGATTTAAAGAGCAAATGAAACAGGCAGGAGTCTGTGTGCTTGTCCTCTTCTGGTTATTGACCCAGAGACCTGGGCGTGGGGCCGACTGGCTCGTGTAGGCCTCATGGGTCGGAACCAGAGGAAGGACCAGGAACGCGGCTTGCAGAGCGGTTTCCCAGGGTCAGGCACAGAACCCCAGCGCCCGGCCTCAGGTGGCAGCGGCCTGTGGAGGGACAACCAGGGTTGGTCCTCCTGCCTCAGAGGCTTGTGGAGGGAAAGCAGCCCCTCCCCCCACCCCCAGGTTCCGCTCTCATTGGAGGTGGTCACGCACCACCTGCTCAAGTGCTGGGATTGTCTCTGCAGGACGCCTGGTGACCCAGCAGGCCCACACCTTGTTCTTTCGCCCCCTCCCCTCCCGCCCCCTCCCCTCACCTCCCGCCCCCTCCCACCTCCCGCTTCCCGCTGTCCCACTTCCCTTCCCACGGACTCCGCTCTGCGCCCTCCTCAGGTCTCAGTGGCCCTCAGCAGCAGCTCCATCCGCGTGGCCGTGCTGGAGGAGCGCGGGGAGCGCGTCCTCATGGAGGGGAAGTTCACGCACAAGGTCAACACGGAGAGCTCTCTGTGGAGCCTGGAGCCCGGGAAGTGCGTCCTGGTGAGTGGGGGGCTGTGCGCCCTCGGGCAGTGTGGAGGCTGGAGGTCCGTGTGACTGACTTGCTGGAGATGCTCGGACCCGACTCAGCCCAGGGCTCTGGGAGCGCCGGGCTCTGCGCTCAGGTGGAGCAGGCCCCGCGGTCGCCGTCTGGCCTGTGGCCGCCCCGCTCACTGGCCGCCTGGTTTGGGTCATGACGGGAGCCTCGCGGGACCTCCACTCCTTGTCCTGTGGCTTGGCTCCGGCGTCTCCTCAGGCCCCGGGGGACTAGGGTGGACGGGCCCGCTGTCCTCGCCAGCCCTGGCCTGTGGTGGGACTTGGGGAGCAGGATGCTTGCAGGGGGAGGAGGCCAAGATGGGAGGTCGCCTGGTTGTCCAGTGGCACGTGTCCTTAGAGAGGAGAGGGGATTGGAGCCGCAGAGGGGACCCAGACGGGAGTGAGTGGTGGTGGGGCAGGGCTGGTGGGGGCGTGTGGCCTCGGGTGTGCGGCCTCCAGGCTGAGAGAGGGAACGATGGGAAAACCCTGGGACAGGGTGGGGCCTCCCAGGAGCCTGCCCCCAACCTCCATGCCACTTGCCTCCCAGCTGCCCTGCAGAGCCGGGGCCCCAGGCAGCCCTGCCAGGCGGGGGCGGCAGCTAAACCTGGTGACAGTTCTCGCCTCCCTCCCGCCCACACACAGTGTTAACGGGGCTTCGTGATTCCCGATTCCTGGCTCCTCCTCGGTTATGGAGCCTCCCCCGCGGCTCCCGGCCTCCTCCTGCCCCTCCTCGCGGGGCGCCGGCCTCACTGCTCCGGAGCTGCCGAGGCGAGGCCGTCCCGCCGACGAGATGCCCCCACAGTCACTCAGCCCGGGCAGCCGCATGGGGTTCGCTGACCTGGTCGGTGCGTCTCACTTGGGGGCTGTTGGACCCATGACAGGGTTTGCGCAGGCGCACCCCCCCTTTGTCGCAGCGCTCGGAAGGGGTGACAGGCTGGCTCGTCCTGGCTCCCCCATCCCAGCTGCCACCTTTCTGCGGTATCAGCAGGTCCCTGTCCTCCCGACACTGGTCGTTCTCTGTCTTTGCTGTCTCACCCGCACTCCCCACGTCCCTGTCGGCTTTCTCGTGAGGACGAGGTTCCCAGCCGAGCAGGGGCTCAGTGGTTAGAGCAATAGCCACGGGCGGAAGGCTCGCAGGTTCAGTTCTGCTGGGGGCGTGCAGGAGACAACCAACGCTGTCTCTCACATCGATGTTCCTCTCTCCCCCCTTCCCCTCTCTCTCAAATTCAATGGAAAGCCCTAGCTGGTTTGGCTCAGTGGATAGAGCATTGGCCTGTGGACTGAAGGGTTCCGGGTTCGAGTCCCATTCAAGGACACATGCCCAGGTTGTGGGCTCGATCCCCAGTAGGGGGTGTGCAGGAGGCAGCCAATCAATGATTCTCTCTCATCATTGATGTTTCTGTTTCTCTCCTTCTCCCTTCCTCTCTGAAAGTGATAAAAATATATTTTAAAAAGTAATAAAATTGAATGGAAAAATATCCTGAGGATTAAAAAACAACAAATACAGGTTGGATATGTCAGCGTGTTGGTGAGCGCAAAGCTGTGGTGGAAGTTAGGCCTGGAATGGGGTGGGGCCTGTGGCCCTCGGTGCTCAGGCCTCGGCCCCTCCCGCCTCTTGGTGGCCTGGTCTGTGGCATTGTCCCAGGCCCAGGCCCGCAGGGAGAGCGGAGGTTGGAGTTTCAGGGTGGGGTGGTGTCATAGGGAAGCCTCCTGGGGACTCGGGCTGGCAGGCGGGCGGCCCTCGTAGTGGATGGAGTGTTTCCTCGCCTGTCAGCCCAGCCCAGCCCGGCTCTGCTCCAGTGGCTTAAACCCCGGGCACTGCCCTGAGGGGCCACTACTGGACTCAGCGCACGCCCTCCACAGGAGTGGCCTGAGCTGAGCAGGCTCCTGCCCGTCATCCTCATCCTCGCACCCCTCCCCCATTCCCCCCCACACACACCCACACAGACTCTCACATGTCTTCTTGGCCCAGACTTGAACCAGGGGCAGCTATGGGGAGCGTCGTCCGCTGGGCAGGCTGCCTCCCTGAATAGAAGCGAGGTGTGTGACGAAGGAGGGGAGGGGTGGACTCAGTCCCCAGCACAGACGGGGTGGGGCGCTGTGTTTTCTTCCACGTCGGGTTCAGTGTCATCATAGATAGGGCCATGGGGGTGGTGGTGGGCGGGGAGCCCTCGACACACGCATGGCTCAGCGCTTGGCCCTGACCCTGCAGGCAGGACAAGGGTCTGGGCTTGGGAGCAGAGCGGGCAGCGGGTGGGGTGGCCAGGAGGGCGGTGGGTCTGCTGGAAGGAGCTCTTGTTGGGGGCTGAGCCTTTGTGGTGTCCCAGGGAGGCAGGATTGGGAGGGACAGGTGGGGGCGGCCAGTAATGGGGCGGCTCGGGGCTCCTGGGCGTGTCCCCTCAGGTGAGAGTGGGCTGGGTCCTGGCGGCCAGCGGGTGTGGGTGGTGACACAGAACCTCGGTCCTCTGTGAGGACCTGGGGCAAGGGCCCCGACCCCCCCGGACTGTAGTCCCCACACTGACCCGCCCGCCCACCCCAGGTGAGCCTGAACAAGGCGGGCGAGTACTGGTGGAGCGCCGTCCTGGAGGGCGAGGAGCCCATCGACATCGACCAGATCAACAAGGAGCGCTCCATGGCCACGGTGGGCGAGGAGGAGCACGCCGTGCTGGACCGGCTCACCTTCGACTACCACCAGAAGCTGCAGGGGAAGCCCCAGAGCCACGAGCTGGTGCGCGCCTCGCCCGCCCCCGGGCTCGGGTGGCTGGCCACGGGTGCGGGGTGGTGTGGACTGGGAGGTGTGGGTGTGGATGGGATGGGCAGAGCGGGTGTGGACGGGGCGGGGGAGTGCATTGGCTGCAGGGCACGGCTGTCCCCTGCGTCCTGACTCCGGCGGCTCCAGCTGGTCACCCCCCAGACAGGGCACACAGCTCACACCTGGTCGGAGCTCAGGTGGCAGGGCCACGACGCGCCCGTGCACAGACCCAGTCATGTGGCCTGCGTCCCCAGCTCTGCAGGAGCCGGAGTGGGGGGCAGGCCCAGCCCGGCCGCAGGACCAGGGCGGGAGGCCCTCCCGAGTCACTGTGAGTGGCCAGCGGCCTTTGGGTCTGCGTGGCCGAGGCTGTGGCGAGGCGAGAGGACGTTGGCGACGGGAGGGGTCACGCCGAGCGGTGGAGCCGGTGGCCGGGGAGAGGACGAGGGAGACGAGTGCAGCGTCCCTGAGGCACGGGTGCCTGTAACCGCGGGCGGCCGCTTCTCCCACGCGGGCCCGCCCTCCCCTTCAGGGCGCACTTTCCGCTCCTCACGGCGTCCAGGTGCCAGCGTCACCGCCCTGCCCTGGGCATCGAGGGGAGGATCAGGTGACTGGCACAGCCTGTGATGCCTGACGGTCGATCTGACCCCCGAGACGTGGAGACGCTGGACAAACGGACCCGTCCCATCCGGGCGACGGAGAGGGACAAGGAGGGACCTCATCACCCACTCAGAGCAGCGCACGATTTGGACTCGGGTGTCTGTTTCTAGACTTTTCCTTTAACGAACTTCGGACCGCGGCTGACCGTGGAGACACACCACGGAACGTGAAACCCTGGGTCCGGAGGGCCCGCAGTCTCCCGCGCTCTCACCATCCCGAGGGCTTAGGCGAGGAGGGTGCTCCTCAGGTCAGTGCGGCACCCGGTCCCGCATGGGAGGTGGCCGCAATGACGTGACGGGTGAACTGCTGGCCATACATGGGCCCTCCCCCAACACTGTCCAGATGCTCAGGGTCCCGTGTGTCTCCTGGGGCCTGACTGGTGCTGTGAGTGCCCTGGTCCCACCACTGGGGGCCTGCAGGTCTGTCCGTCCACCCATCCGCCATGTCCTTACTGCACGCAGTGGGGTTGGGTTGGTGGGTCAGACGCACCAGGGCCCTAAGAGCACGAGGTGGGTGGTCCCCTGAGCTGGACTGGCCTGTCCTTCCTCTCCTTCGCTGAACCACACCCGCTGGGCCGACAGGGTGGGGCTGACTGAAGGGTCACAGCATCTGCTGGTCGTGTCATCGCTGAGCTTGCCTCTCGTGCTTGAGCAGAACTTGCTGTGGCCACCAGACGACGAGCAGTCTGGGCACTGGCCCCACGGGGAGGGCCTCACGCAGTTGGTGCGGACACTGGTGTCCCCGCCCTGGACACGCAGGGAGAGGCAGGCTTCCTGATGACTGGCCAGGGATGGCGGCCCATGGGGACGACGGTGAAGACATGCCTGGGGGGCCCGGGGGCTGATGGAGGGGGAGCAGGGACCCGTGGCCACAGTCCTTGGGCCCTTCGATTTGGACAGATTCCTGGTGGGAAGGGCCAGCAGCACATGAAGACGCAGCCCTTGGCGGTGACAGACGGGGGCAGGGGGTCTGCATGGAGCTCGGCCTGTGGAGGGCTCAGTTGCCCAGGCGGGTCCTGGAGGAGGAGGCGCGTGTGTCCGCTGGGCCAGGGCTGGGCCGGGTTAACCTCCCTGTCTGTTTTCTGTTGTAGAAAGTCCATGAGATGCTGAAGAAGGGGTGGGACGCTGAAGGTTCTCCCTTCCGAGGCCAGCGATTCGACCCGGCCATGTTCAACATCTCCCCAGGGGCTGTGCAGTTTTAGTGACAGGACCCTTGCCCTCGCAGCTGGAGGCGGGCCTGGTGTGCCCTCCTGGGGACCTGCTGTCTGATGCCCTCCCATCCCTTCTTTCAAGGGCCTGCGGCCTCGGCCATGCCTGCCGCTCCAGACGCGCAGAGAAGGGCGGGGCCGCCCGAGGGCCCTGGTGGAGCAGGGCCCGCAGCCCCCCGCCCCCCTCGCTGCTGTCTGTAGCTCTGCTTGCTGTTCTTGTGCCGCGGGAGGCGGGAGGCCAGGTGGGCGACTCCAGGACGTTTGGGGACTCAGCCTCCCTTGCTGGGCGAGACATCCTCAGACGGGCACCTGGCACCCGGTCCTGGGTGCTGCTCTGGACGCTGGAGAAAGGCCTGTGGCCGCCCACACAGCGGCTCTGACCTCTGACCGCTGCCCCGTCCCACCACCTGCACCTTCCTTTGTGGACCTGGTTCCTGTCGGAGTGAGCTGAGCGGCTGCCCGTCCCTCTCAGGAACCCCGACCACAGCTCTGCTCCCACCGCCTCGGACCCACACCTGCGCCCTGTCCCGCAGGCCACGTGCCCATCAGCAGGACCCGGCCTCCCCCACTGGAGCCTAGAGATGAGGAGCCTGTGGCAGACAGCCCTTCTGGAGGCTCCCACGCTGTGTGCGTGGGCGGGAGCTGGTTCCTTGCCGGCGTTTCTGCTCGAAGGGCAGCTCCCCTGGGTCCCTGTGATGCCGTTGGCAGGGGGCAGATGGTGCTGGTGGCCCAGGCCCTGACCGCACACGTCACCGGCTGGTCCTGCACCTGCAGGGGCCCCTCCTCAGGCCCCAGGTCTCTGTGTTGTCCCTGTGACAAACATTCTCGACATGTTCCTCTGCGCCCCCCAGGGGTCTCCCCAGAGGTGAGGTGGGTGCACCTGCGTCTCAGTGATCTGGGAGACTGGGACCAGGACTGGTGGCTGTCCTCCTGGGGCCTGCTTTTATTTTCCATGTCGTGTCTTTCCACCGTGCCGCTGTCAGCGTCTGGGAGGGGTGCTGGTCACAGCGGCAGCTCTGCTCCTGCCTGTTTTCTCTCTGCAGACGCGGCAGCAGCAGACGGGCCGCGGAGCCCGGCGAGGCCGAAGACAAGGCCGCCGTCCACCACGTGGGTTTGCAATAAATGTGTTTGAACACTCGGCCTCTGCGGGGTTGCTGCCGTGTCGTTCTGTGTGCCCATCCCTGAGTGCCAGCCATGGGTCTGACCCAGCCTGCTGCCCGGCCCTGTGGGCATTGATTGGTCAGCATCTTTTTAATGAAGGAAGGTGCTTCTGGGGCAGGAAGTGAGGAGGAGGGACCCCACAGCGTTTGGGGTGGGGGCGCAGTCAGTCCTGTGGGGGTGTGTCCTGGCGGCTGCAGCCCTAGGAGCCCCGACAGTGGCAGCCCACACCCACGTGACAGAGGCGTGTGCACGAGGAAGGGCTGTGGGGCCCCAGGCGGTGGGGTGGGCCCCGGTCTGAGCTGAGCTGTGGTCCCGGAGCGTCTGGCTGCTGCACTCCAGCACCAGCACCACATGGACGTGGGCACCCCTCGGGAGGGAGCCAGCCTGTCCTTCAGTCTCGTGCAGGCCCCAGGCCTGCCTGGCTCTGTTCTCACTTCCTGGTTTCAGATGTCTGGGGGGGGGGGGGGGGGCGCCCAGCACCCTGCCTGGTGGGGGGACGTTGGGAGGACAGGGCCCTGGGGACACGGCCCCTCTGGCTGTCTTCCTGGTGCCAAGTGCTGCGGGAGGGGGCCCTGTTCCTCTTCGGACAGGCCCTCAGGAAGCTGCCCAGGTCATGACCTTCCAGGGCTGGGGCAGGTCACTGTGGGACTTGGCAGTGTCCCTGGTTGTCCTGGACTCAGGAAGACACAGTTGCAGGGTGCCTGCCAGGAGCCCACCCTCCAGGGGTCACAGAGGTTCTGGGGTGACGGGCTGGGAGGTACCAGCAGCCCTGGGCCCCCTCAGGGCCGTGGAGGAAGCAGAGGCAGGACCAGGAAGAAGGCGAGAGGAGCCCTGCTGGACCCCTCCCCCCCACCCTCACCCCTTGTGAACTCAGGTAAACGGCCCCCTTTCTGTCACCACCCAGTCCTCCACGTGCGGGGTTGAGCCAGACTAGGCTCAGGGGCATCAGCCTTGGCCCCTGACCCCCACCTGCATCCTGGACAGCAGCTCCCGCCCTCCCTCAGGAACCCACCCCTGGGAGGGCCTCCTGGGCCTGCCCCTCCCCCAGCCCTCTGGGGCACTCGGGAGTTCTCACCCTTTAAAATTGCTTATGGTGGTGAAACGCCACAGACTTTACCATCTTAACCATTCTTTATTTTTAATTTAAATCAGAGAGGAAGGGAGAGGGGGAGAGAGAAACATTCATGATGAGAAAAAAATCATTGATCGGCTGCCTCCTACCCGTCCCACAGGGATGGAGCCCACAACTCGGGCCTGTGCCCTGACAGGGAATCGAACTGCGACCTCCTGGTTCACAGGTCAACGCACAGCCGCCGAGCCACGCGGCCGGGCCGTCTTAACCACAGCGGCAGCCGAGCTGCAACCACGGCGAGGCACGTGAGGCTTTGCCGGCTGAGGCGTCACTGGGTGCTCTTCCCGGATCGGCATGCTGCCTGCACGCCCGGCCTTGGCCACTTGGCCTGCAGCCCCCAGAGGCCACGGAGGCAGCAGAGCGGCCTGGGGCAGACCGAGCCGCCCCCGCGCACGTCAGGTTGTATTAGTCGGCGAGGGCTGCCTAACGAAGTGCCCGGGCAGGCAGCTGACACAACAGATCCTTTCTCTCGCTTGGAGGCGGCAGGCTCGGTGCTCCCCGAGGCCTCTCCCCGGGGCTCGCAGACACTGCCTTGCACTGTGTCCTCGCACGGCCCTTCTGAGCCTGAGGATCCCCAGTGCCTCCCACGGATGTCCTCATCATCCCCTTAGAAGGCCACGAGTGAGGCTGGATTAGGCCCACCCACAGCACCCGCTGACTTAATTACAGCACCTCCTCCAGAGCCAGTCCACTTCTGAGGTGCTGGGGTTAGGGCTTCAGCACGAGCATTTGGGACACATTTCATGGATAACCCTGGCCCAATAGCTACACTGGGGCCAAGGCCTCAGGCAGGAGATGCTGCGGGCTCAGAGGCTGTCTTCCCAGGAGTCAGGCGGGGCCGGTCATTTCTTGGGATCTGTGGGGTTGGGCCAAACCAAGTCCGACGAGGCAGTCCCGGACTGCACGCCGTGCCAGAAGCGAGCTAGTGCAGCTGTGCCGTCACTAAATAAAGTCAACGTTAAGGCAATAACTAGGGATAAAGATGGATGCCACGATAAAGGGTGTACTCACCAAAAATACACAGCTTAAGGTTTTGTATAAGCCTAACCACATAATTTCAAAATATATAAAGAGAAAAAAACTGGCAATAACAGTGGAAGCCTTTAACTTGCCTCCTTTAATAAGTTAGAGAACAAGTAGACAAAAACCCACAACTCAGTAAAGAGAGCTGAATAGCATGAATAACAAATGATGTATCGGACCTAATAGAATGCCACACCCACTCGTGAAAATGCACACTATTCTCCTATGTATATGAGACATTACAAAAATTTATATGTTTGAGCCATAAGTCTTAACACATTTTAAAAGGTTTTAAATTATTCAAATTATATCCTAGGAGTAGAAGGGAACTTTTTTTTTTTTAAATATATTGATTTTTTTACAGAGAGGAAGGGAGAGGGATAGAGAGAGAAACATCCATCAGCTGCCTCCTGCACACCCCCTACTGGGGATGTGCCCGCAACCAAGGTTACATGCCCTTGACCAGAATCGAACCTGGGACTCTTCAGTCCACAGGCCGACGCTCTAGCCTAGTGATGGCGAACCTTTTGAGCTCAGCATGTCAGCGTTTTGAAAAACCCTAAGTTAACTCTGGTGCCGTGTCACATATAGAAATTTTTTGATATTTGCAACCATAGCAAAACAAAGACTTATATTTTTGATATTTATTTTATATATTTAAATGCCATTTAACAAAGAAAAATCGACCAAAAAAAAAATGAGTTCGCGTGTCACAGGTTCGCCATCACTGCTGTAGCTACTGAGCCAAACTGGTCAGGGCAGAAGGGAACTTTCTTATTCTGATAAGATCCTCTATAAATACCTTCACTAATGATGAAATATTGAAAACTTTCCCTTGAAGTTAGGAATGAGACGAAGATATCCACAGTCACCACTACCACTCAACATGGTATCAGAGAGCTTAGCCAGTGCAAAAGGCAAGCAGGGAAAGGTCGAAAGGAAGAAATAAAACAGTAACTTACAGATGACGTTACTGAATACGTAAAACATCCAAAAGAATTTCGGGCACCTTATAAAAATTAATGTGTGAAATTAGCAAGGTTGCTGGCAATCATGTCAATGTTTTAAACATTGTGTTTACATATACCAGCAACAGTTCAAAATATTTTAAGAATTGTTTACAATAGGATGTTCAAAACATCAAAAAACTAGTAATAAATATAACGACATACAAAACCTGTACATAGGAAATTATGAACTTTATTGAGATTAAGGACACCTAAGTGAAGGGTGTGTTAATAAAGTTTAACTGAATAGGTCTGGAGATCTGTTGGCTTTATTAAATGATTCATGGGTTGGACAGCATCTCACTGGGCCGAGCAGAGCGGCACTGGGAGGAGTTTCACAGGATGGAGAGGCTTGTATAGGAGAGGCAGGCATCCCCAGCAAGGAAATATGGAAGTTCATTGGAGGACAGTCAGTTCAGGTGACAGGACGGGTTCTCATGGGCTGAGCTAGGTCTCGGGCTTGTTGCTGGGCAAGAAGAAAACCTCCCTCCCTGTGGGGGGGTGGGGTGGGGGGGTAGTGAAGTGTTGCTCTCGGGAGTGGGAGGTAGTCCCTCCTGTTGGGGTCTGTAACCTAGTTAACTGGGGCTGTGATTGACAGCTGTGACTGACAGGGCTTCCTGTTGGCCTAGTGGACAGCAGTGGCGGAAGCACGAGGGCCCCCCCTACAGGCCTTTCTGACTCCATTTTCAGTGGCGGTTCCTTAGGTTCACAGATACGTGTTGTGCTTGTGGAATGCTAGACTCAATATGGAAATTTTTTCAGTTCTCTGCAGTCTGAGCTAGGTATTGAACGCACATCACGCCCCGAGATAATACTGGCAGAAGTGTGTGTGTGTGTGTATGTGTGTGTGTGTGTGAGTGTGTGTGTGTCTGAGTATGTGTGTGTGTGTGTGTGTGTGTCTGAGTATGTGTGAGTGTGTGTGTATGTGTGTGTGAGTGTGTGTGTCTGAGTATGTGTGAGTGTGTGAGTGTGTCTGAGTATGTGTGAGTGTGTGAGTGTGTCTGAGTATGTGTGAGTGTGTGAGTGAGTGTGTGTATGTGTGAGTGTATGTGTGAGTGTGAGAGTGTGTGTGTATGTGTGTGTGTGTGTCTGTGAGTGTGTGTGAGTGTGTGTATATGTGTGTGAGTGTGTGTGTATATGTGTGAGTGTGAGTGTGTGTGTGTATGTGTGAGTGTGTGTGTGTGTGTGTATGTGTGAGTGTGTGTGTGTGAGTGTGTGTGTATATGTGTGTGTGTGAGTGTGAGAGTGTGTGTGAGTGTGTGTGTGAGAGTGTGTGTGTGTGTGAGTGTGTGAGAGAGTGTGTGTGTGAGTGTGTGTATGTGTGTGTGTGTGAGTGTGTGTGTGTGAGTGTGTGTATGTGTGTGTGTGTGAGAGTGTGTGTGTGTGTGTGTGTGTGAGAGTGTGTGTGTGTGTGAGTGTGTGAGAGAGTGTGTGTGAGTGTGTGTATGTGTGTGTGTGTGAGTGTGTGTATGTGTGTGTGTGTGAGAGAGAGTGTGTGTGTGAGAGAGAGAGAGAGAGTGTGTGTGTGCGCGCACGCGATTATAGGCTGCTTCTAAAATTCCCTTAAGATTGTAAAGGACAGGAGCAAAGTGCAGGAGGAGGAACAAGCTGCTGAGAAGTCGCAAAACCGTCCAAAGGACTCCTGTCCATCAACCAAACGCCCCATTAACACTTGAGCACGTTGCCTTACAGGTCGTTCTCTCTGTACGAGTCCGACTCACTGGGAAGTAAGCTGTGGGCAAGATGATCTCCCACACAAACGCGGGGGAACTCACATCAGGACGTCAGCCTGGCTGCTGTGCCATCGTCGAACCCCAG